TCGTGGGTCACTACAGCCTCGATCCTACATCCTTAGCCCCAAGAGAGCAAACCCCGAACAGCAAGGTTCTCTTGTGGGGCGGACGCCTGGGAAGCTCTTCGAGTCAGGGGTTTAAGGTTTCAGGCTAGGGTTTAGGGTTTAGGGTTTAGGGTTTAGGGTTTAGGGTTTAGGGTTTAGGGTTTAGGGTTTAGGGTTTAGGGTTTAGGGTTTAGGGTTTAGGGTTTAGGGTTTAGGGTTTAGGGCTTAGGGAGTTTAGGGTTTTTAGGGTTTTTAGGGCTTTTAGGGTTTCTAGGGTTTAGGGTTTCGGGTTTAGGGTTTAGGGTTTAGGGTTTAGGGTTTGGGGTTTAGGGCTTAGGGAGTTTAGGGTTTTTAGGGTTTTTAGGGCTTTTAGGGCTTTTAGGGTTTTTAGGGTTTAGGGTTTCGGGTTTAGGGTTTAGGGTTTAGGGTTTAGGGTTTAGGGTTTAGGGTTTAGGGTTTAGGGTTTCGGGTTTAGGGTTTAGGGTCTAAAGCTTCGGGTTTATCATCCCTGGGTCCCAGACACCACTGTCAGAGACTCGCGGCCAACGCCTCGGCACTACGATGGCTGACCATCTTGGAGGTTCCCTATATCCCCAATTTAGGGTCTAGGGTTTAGGGTTTAGGGTTTAGGGTTTAGGGTTTAGGGTTTAGGGTTTAGGGTTTAGGGTTTAGGGTTTAGGGTTTAGGGTTTAGGGTTTAGGGTTTAGGGTTTAGGGTTTAGGGCTTAGGCTTTTGGGTTTAGGGTTTAGGGTTTGGGGGTTCGGGGTTAGGGGTTAGGGTTTATGGGTACTTATAACCCCAATTATCACTGCACTTATGAGCCCCCTTAGTCCCTAAGTAGGTTGTAAGTGCAGCTGTACTTGAACCTCCAAGAGGGGCTTTGTTTCACGTTCAGGCCAGGGGCACAGGCAACTATACGGCTTAGGAGTGCTAAGGCTTAGGGTTTTAGGGGTTCTGGGTTGTGTTGGGGTTGTTTCGGGCTGTTGGGCTGTTGAGGTTTGCGGCGCGAATCTGCCTCTCTCTCTCTCTCTGCCTCTCGCTCTGCCTCTCTCTCTCTCTCTCCGCCTCTCTCTCTCTCTCTGCCCGCTCTCTCTCTCTGCCATCTCTCTCTCTCTGCCCGCTCTCTCTCTCTCTCTCTCTCCCCTGCTTACTCCCCGAAAAGCTGAACTGAAGCGCGCTTCCGTCCGAAGTGTTGTCTGTGACGCTGCCTCCACGCGTGTGAAGGCAGGGTTCTCCCTCTCCCTCTCCCTTGGGCTTCTTGCCGAGAGAGTGTTCGCAGAGAAGCGAAACAATCTGAACACTACACCCTTAAGCCAGTGGACCCTGCAACGCCTGAACGCCCTAAATCCGAATGGCCGGAAACATATATGCCCAAAAGCCACTCAACCGTCAACCAACCCTGCTTCTCCAACAAGGTGAGGGTCATCCCTGAACCCCAAATCACAAATCCCAAGCCCCCCAAATCTGCTTTGAAGCCTGAACGCTGAACCCCAAAGCCTCAAAACCGCCAAACCCTAAACCCAAACCCTAAATCCTAAACCCCAAAACCCTAAACCCTAAACTCAAACCCTCACCCCTAAACCCTCAAACCCCCAAACCCATCAATCCGCCATTCAGACGACGTGCCGGGTTCCCAAGACACTTCTGGTTCTTAGTAGGGAATGAGGGAATGTCATCCGGGATAGAAGGTACCTAACTCCCTAAACCCGAAACCCGAAACCCGAAGCCCTGAACCCTAAACCCTAAACCTTAAACCTTAAATTCTAAACCCTAACCCTAAACCCTCAACCCTCAGCCCTCAACCCTCAACCCTAAACCCTAAACCCTAAACCCTGAACCCTAAACCCTAAACCCTACCCGAGACACCGAGGCTCTGACCTGTGCGCTGGGCCATGGCGCGGGACCAGTCCCTGCACGCTTGCCAGGTTGCTTAACAATGACGTGTGTCGGGTTTGGGGTTTGGGGTTTCGGGATTAGGGCTTAGGGTTTAGGGTTTAGGGTTTAGGGTTTAAGGTTTAGGGTTTAGGGGTTTGGGCTGAGGGTTCAGGGCTTAGGGCTTCAGGTCCAGGGCTTTGGGTCGTTTATGGTGCGTGGCTGGGGGCTTAAGGGCGTTAAAGTTCCTGTAGAAGGGCCACCAGCCTTTAAGTTTTCGGGTTTGAAAAACTTAGGGCTTAGGGCTTGAGGCTTGGGGTTTAGGGTTTGCTGTAACATGGTGCAGACGCTGAGACGATGAGAAGGTTAGGATGCAGAATTGGCTTGAAAGCTTCGTCAGGTGTGAAGAGCAGCTATGGCCCGTTTGTGGAGGGCCATCTAATGCTTTCTGCCACCCCGCGCCGTCCCCCCCCCACCCACTGTACAGGGGCGGCCTAGGCTTAATGAAGGAATAGAGCTTAAACTAAACAGGGTGAGTGTATGGTTTGGGGTTTACTTCCCTACACTATGTTTTAAGACAGTCTTCCTTCGTTGCGGCTACGCGGTCGTGAGCGATCTGAGCATTGAGGCACACAGGCCCTTGTAGGGGTTTAGGGTTTCGGGTTTCCCTAAACCCTACACCCGAAACCCTAAACCCTAAACCCGTTTTTTGCTTGTTAGGGTGTAGCGTGTCGGGTTTGGAGAAAGGTTTAGCGTAGGATATTAGCCCTAAACCCTTTAATGAAACCCTTCAAACCCTTGAAACCCTCGAAGCCCGTTAAGCCCGTTAAGCCCTTTAAGCCCTCTAAGCCCTCTAAGCCCTTAAAACCCCAAAACCCTTAACCCTGAACCCTATAACCCTATAACCCGAAAACCCTAAACTCTAAACCCTATAACCCTAAACCCTATAACCCTAAGCCCTAGACCCCTAAACATCACAGGGACTTTTTACCCCCACGCGGCGGTACTCACCGCTCCCGGGACCCGCGTGATGAAGAGGGAGTAGGCCGGAGGCCAGAAACTTGGCTCCAGGGTTTAGGGTGTAGGGTTTAGGGTTTAGGGTTTAGGGTTGAGGGTTTAGGGTTTTAGGGTTTTAGGGTTTAGGGTTTAGGGTTTAGGGTTTAGGGTTTAGGGTTTAGGGTTTAGGGTTTAGGGTTTAGGGTTTAGGGTTTAGGGTTTAGGGTCTAGGGGGTCACTGTTCTAGCATTCATAGTCATTAGGGGGTTCCAGGCTTAGGAAAAAAACCCACCCGCCCAAAGAATCCCATAACATTAAGAAAGTATAAAATTTTCATCCAAGGACTTGCCTTAATCGACGAAGGGCTTGCCTTATTCGACGAAGGACTTGCCTTATTCGACGAAGGACTTGGCTTATTCGACGAAGGACTTGGCTTCTTCGACGAAGGACTTGGCTTATTCGACGAATTCATTAGGGTTTAAATAAATAAATATATATATATATGAAGAGAGGTTTAGGGTTTACGGTTTAGGGTTTAGGGTTTAGGGTTTAGGGTTTAGGGTTTAGGGTTTAGGGTTTAGGGTTTAGGGTTTAGGGTTTAGGGTGTAGGGTTTAGGGTTTAGGGTTTAGGGTTTAGGGTTTAGGGTTTAGGGTTTAGGGTTTAGGGTTTAGGGTTTAGGGTTTAGGGTTTAGGGTTTAGGGTGGTGAAGGCCAGAAGCTTGGCTCGTGGGGGGTTTCCAGGGTTGGGTTTGGGGTTTAAGGGCTAGTTTAGGGCTTAAGGGTTAGTTTAGGCTCTAGGGGTTTAGGAGGGGTTTAGTTGAGGGTTTAGGGCTTAGGGCCTAGGGCTTAGGGCCTAGGGTTTAGGGTTTAGGGGCTTGAGGGCCTGAGGGTTCTAGATTTTTGGGCCAGGTTTGCCCCAAAGCTTAGACCGTTTGGGGAGGACCTTCACTCTCAGACTCGGAAACCTGAGTCCCTAAAAGCTCTAACTCGTAGACACTGAACCTTAAACCCTAAACCTAGAAGCCTAAACCCGGACCACTGAACCTTCGCTTCTACAGCTGAAGCCCGAGCCTTAAACGAACGTCCGAGAGAACGCTCTCGTCGACATTTGTGCAGCTCTGTCGCAGATAGGAGTCGTGGTTTGTCAAGTCGTCCTTAGCTCAAAAAAACTCGGTCCACATGCCTAGGACCGTCTCCCGGAAGGCAGAAATACCGCAAACCGAAAATATGTGTGTTGTTTTACCAAAAATAGGTTACTTTCTTGTATACCTCCCAAAAAGGATTCGCCCGTTTTCGGATCACCCCCAAAACGTTACGTACGCCTGCTGGTGGAACCCCCCCCTTTATTTAGAGTCAGCAATGCACGTCCTCTGTTTAGAGCGCAGGACCCTGATCCCCAAACTCTGAACCCGAAACCTTTACCTTAAACCAGGGTGATGAGGCTTTAGGGTTGAGCGTTCAGGTTCAAGGGCTTTGGGGTTTTATGGACACACTGACAACTTCCTCCCTAAACCCTAAACCCTAAACCCTAAACCCTAAACCCTAAACCCTAAACCCTAAACCCTAAACCCTGGTCCACAAAGCCAAAGCAGCTGGGAAGAGGTCCGTCTCCAACACCTTTGCATCCGGCGGAGGCTTGGGGTCGGGTCGCATCGTAGTCCTCTAAACCCTAAACCCTAAACCCTAAACCCTAAACCCTAAACCCTAAACCCTAAACCCTAAACCCTAAACCCTAAACCCTAAACCTGAATTCTAGTGGCTTAAAATTCAGGGACGGCAGGAGAAGCCTTCGCCAACAATGGCAGGGCATTGATTGCTCTCATGTTTATGGGGGGGGGGGGGGCGGGGGGGGGGGGTTTAGGGTTTAGGGTTTAGGGCTTAGGGCTTAGGGCTTAGGGCTTAGGGCTTAGGGCTTAGGGCTAGGGCTTAGGGCTTAGGGCTTAGGGCTTAGGGCTTAGGGCTTAGGGCTTAGGGCTTAGGGCTTAGGGCTTAGGGCTTAGGGCTTAGGGCTTAGGGTTTAGGGTTTTCTTGACTCAGTTGACGGCACCCTTGGACCTTAGAGGCCCTAAACCTGTGAGGAGCCACCGTCTCCCACTGGATGGCCACTTCGCCCGTCAGCCAGTGGCCTGCTGTGGGGTTTGGTCTGGGGTTCAGGGTTTAGGGTTTAGGGTTTAGGGTTTAGGGTTTTTAGGGTTTAGGGTTTAGGGTTAGGGTTTAGGGTTAGGGCTTTAGGGCTTTAGGGCTTTTAGGGCTTAGGGCGTTAGGGCTTTAGGGCTTTAGGGCTTTAGGGCTTTAGGGCTTTAGGGCTTTAGGGCTTTAGGGCTTTAGGGCTTTAGGGCTTTAGGGCTTTAGGGCTTTAGGGCTTTAGGGCTTTAGGGCTTTAGGGCTTTAGGGCTTTAGGGCTTATGGTGCACGGCTTAGGAGCTTACAGGGCTTTAGGGCTTCAGGGGTGTAGGGGGTTTAGAGTGTAGGGCGTCTTGGCCCCGAAACACCTACAGGCCTTCGAAGGTCCTCAACCCTAAACCTCTGATCCCAAAGGCCTCAGCACGAATCCGACATCCTAAAACCAGCTGCAGCTGAAAGAAAAACCCAGTCCTTCCGGTTTTCTTCGGGTCCCGGAGTTTACTAGGGTTTAGGGTTTAGGGTTTAGGGTGTATAGGGTTTAGAGTTTAGGGCTAAAGTTTAGGGTTTAGGGTTTAGGCGTTAGGGTTTAGGGTTTGTGACTCTCTAACTCCTTAACCCCTTCGCACCCTTAGCCCGCAACCCGCCTTCTGAGCGGAGGCTAGCGCGAAGCCTCGGCGGCTGCTCAGCGACGCGGGGCTCAGGGTTTAGGGTTTAGGGTTTAGGGTTTAGGGTTTGGGGTTTGGGGTTTGGGGTTTAGGGTTTAGGGGTTTCTATAGCTTGGGGACACCAAGGCCTGAAAGTTTGTAGGATGTCGGGTTTGGGGGTTTTAGTGTTTGGGGGTTTTGGTGTTTGGGGGTTTTGGTGTTTGGGGGTTTTGGTTTGGGGCGGTTTTGGGGTAGGGTTCGGGGTGTAGGGTTTCGGAGGTTTTGGGGCTTAGGGGGTTTAGGGGATGGGGGGTTTAGGGTTTCGCAAATTTAGGAGATTAAAGAAGTACACGTATCGGACGCCGTCACTGACGTCTCAGATGCTCTTGGCAACCAGCTTTCTTTGAGTTGCCCTTCCGACTGAAGACCCCTAAACCCTAAACCCTAAACGCTAAACCCTAAACCCTAAACCCTAAACCCTAAACCCTAAACCCTAAACTGGGGGATGAGAGCGTGTATTCTGGTCTGGGCTCAGGCCACGTCTGCCCTGAGCTGGTTGCTGCTCCAGACCTCTTGGTCACGGAGCTCTGCGGGCCCCTGGTCGGTACGGGCCCAGCAGGATCGTAGGAAGGGGTTCGCCTGCAGGAGGGCCAGCAGCAGCTGTGGAGTATTAGACATGTCAGCGTCTGGCCGCTGTTGAGTGGCGGACCAAGGCTTCGTCTTGCGGCTGACGGCATGGACTCTTGCCCATCGATGGAAGCGGATCGTCGACTGAAACTTCTCGGGTTTAGGGGGCTCAGGGGGTTTAGGGGGTTTAGGGGGTTTAGGGGGTTTAGGGGGTTTAGAGGGTTTAGGGGGTTTAGGGGGTTTAGGGGGTTTAGGGGGTTTAGGGGGTTTAGGGGGTTTCGGGGTTTAGGGGGTTTAGGAGGTTTAGGGGGGTTTAGGGGGTTTAGGGTTTAGGGGGTTTAGGGGGTTTAGGGGGTTGCAGAATTCCTCTTCTGCCACGAAGGGAGGGCTGCGGAATAACCCCTTGAGTCACCTCAAATAAGAGCTGAGCTCTACTACAGAGAAGGGCATAGCTCTGCGAACATGTGACAGCAACACTCACTACAATCCGCCGGTCCGTTGCTCGGCAATGGTTTCTTTGGGAGGGTCTGACGAACCCCAGGAGCCTGGGAACCATGGGCAGCAACCCGGGAACCCCAGTTTTAGGGTTAGGGTTTAGGGTTTAGGGCTTGGGGGTTAATTGCTCTTGAGGCGACGGATCGTTCTTCTTCTTGGACTGCAAAACCCGAGTGTGGTAGGCTTAAACCTCCTATTACGAAAACTTCGTTTACGTTTCTTAACAACAGCCTGAACCCTAAACCTATATCATTTGCGGACGCGTTACATTCTTGGGGTCCCTACTTTAAGGGAAGCCTACTATTTGGGGATCTATATTGGGGGGAACCCTATGTTCGTAAAGTTCCAAAAATAGAAACCTTCCGAAAGCCGGCAAACGCCCCACACGTTGCGAGGGGCAGTCGTGCCAGAACTCCGGGTTTCGCTCCGGCATCTGGTTCATGTCTGGCACGGAGAGCCCGGACCCCTAAACCCTAAACCCTTGAAAAGGGGCTTCGGGTGGTTGCGAGGGAAGAGCTCGCCCAGTTTATGCGTTCGCGGTTTCGGGTTTATGGGTTTAGGGTTTCAAGGTTCAGTGGGCGTGCAAAAGTGTGCCGCTACGTGTTTTCTGCCACTTGCCCCGCTTGCCCCACTTGCTCTAGTCCTTGGGTGGAAAACGACATTGCCCCACCCCACTTGCCCCACTTGCCACTTTCCCCACTTGCCCCACTTGCTGCTGAAGTGGGGGCAAGTGAGGCAAGTGAGGCAAGTGGGGCAAGCGGGGCAAGTGCGGCCCAGCCACAAGTCTGCCTCAAAGAGAGCCCGGATTGAGGCAGACTTGTGGCTGGGGCGAGCACGGGCAAGCTGGGCCCGGCAAGGAGCCATGGTGCAGCTCTGGCTCCAGTCTGCCTCAAACACAGCCCGGATTGAGGCAGACTTGGTTCGGGCCCATGGCGTGGTTCTGGCTCCAGCCATAAGGAGGGAGGAGGGGGTTTGGGGATGCCACTTGGCCCCACTTGCCCCACTTGCCCCACTGATGGAGGGGAAGATCTGCAGGGCGCGGGAACAAGTGAGGCAAGTGGGGCAAGTGGGGCAAAACCAATTAGCTCTACCGGGCCACCAAGTGGGGCAAGTGGGGCAACCTCGATTAGCTCTTCCGGAAAAGCAAGTGGGGCAAGTGGGGCAAGTGGGGCAATGGCAAGTTGTGGTGGCCGTGGTTTACGGGTTTATGGGTGTGGGGTTTAGGGCTTAGCAGACACCTGCAAATGAGGAAATTCTGGCACCAAGGTGAGGGGTTCAGGGTTGAGGGCTTCGGGCATATAAGCCTCCTGAAGAGTAGGGCCCGATCATGACCTTAAACCCAAAACCCAAAACCCTAAACCCTAAACCCTAAACCCTAAACCCTAAACCCTAAACCCCAATCCCTAAACCCTAAACCCTAAACCCAAAACCCTAAACCCTATACTCATGTCAGTATGTGTGTACACCGGCTGTACGGTACCAAAAAGAGCCCCCCAAGCCCTAAGCCCTACGCCCTAAGCCCTACGCCCTTAGCCTAGGCCCTTTGCCCTTAGCCCTTAGCCCTAAACCCTAAACCCTAAATCCCAATCCCCCAAAACTTCGGGGTGATTTCAGGTGCTGGCGCACCTTCAATGCTCCGGATCATCGGCGCATTCCTGGCACGTTTGGGGCTTCCTGACTCACTCAAGTATTTTGGGCTTAGGGTTTAGGGTTTAGGGGCTTAGGGTTTAGGGTTTGGGGTTTAGGGCTTAGGGTTTCGGGCTTCGGGTTTAGAATACGCGCGTGTAGGCCTGCTAAATCCTGACTCAAGTATTTTCTCCGTATACTCAGCACCTTGCAATCCCTCTCGAAGGGCACGACGCGTGTATAAGGGGCATAGCGGAGGCAACCCCACCTGAAACTGTCGTAGACTAGCCCGAGGCCGTAAGCCCTGAACCCTAAACCCTGAACCCTAAACCCTAAACCCTAAACCCCTAAACCCTAAACCCTTAACCCTTAACCCTAAACCCTAAACCCTAAACCCTCCACGCAGCCGGGGGGCCAGCCAAACCACAGACGACCTCCAATCCGCACCTCCAGGCAAGGCTTGGGTCTCTACAGGTAGTTGTTTCATCCTTAGGGTTTAGGGTTTAGGGTTTAGGGTTTAGGGTTTAGGGTTTAGGGTTTAGGGTTCAGGGTTCAGGGTTTAGGGTTTAGGGTTTGCCCTACACCCCTTAAACTATCTGAACCAAAGGCCTGAACCCCCGACGGCGCTTGATCGTGATGATGGGAGGGCTCCCTCTGGAGGTCTGTCGATGATGGTGTGCATGTGGGTGTCGGGCATAAGGCTTAGGGGTTCAAGGGTGTTAGAGCGTAGGGCTTTGGGTAAGAAGTTTGGGTTGAGGGCTTCGGGGCTTAAGGGTTTAAGGGTTTCAGGGTTCAAGGGTTTAAGCGTTCAAGGGTTTAAGGGTTTAGGGGCTTAAGGTTTAGGACTGGCGAAGATGGCACCTTTTCAACCAGCGTCACCACGGTGTCACACTGGTCGTCGGACTCCCTTAGGTTGCCAATTTGTGACTTCAAGGGGTTTAGGGTTTAGGGTTTAGGGTTTAGGGTTTAGGGTTTAGGGTTTAGGGTTTAGGGTTTAGGGTTTAGGGTTTAGGGTTTAGGGTGCCAGTTGGTGACTTCAGGGGGGCTTAAGGGGTTTTGCGAAATACGAAGCAACTCCACGAGCCGACACCATGAACGCACAAGTTGAGCATGAGGCTCAGCCATACGAACGCCGTCGACACTCCATGTGGACATGTGACATACAGATGTACACATATAAGCAGCTGCGTCTACCTCTCGTAGCTAACAGAGCTGCTGTCACATTCTGCGTCTGCTGCAGGGACAACTCTGAGCTTTGTGCTGCACCGGCTTGTGAAGACAAACAACTTTGAAAATCCAGAATGACTTGGTAGCCGAGTAGTGATCTTGTAAGAAGGGTGCCCGTTTTTGGGTTGGCTACTGTATGAGGGAACCCAGGACCCAAAAACGGGGGAAAAGGGGGCACCACTTGGGCTAACCAAGATGAGCTGTCAAATGCAGAGGCGTACGAAAATTGACCATTCGACCTCCCGGACGTTATTTTGGCCAACTTGCTTAAGCTCGGTTTTGGAGCCGTTTTTTGGGGGCCGGGCTTGTATCTTGTCGAAACAAAAGCTTGTAAATCATAATGATATCACATACAATTTCGATTTTTTCTGTCTTGTGGGTTTAGGATTATACCTTTCGGGCATTAGGGCTTAGGTTTTCGGGTTTGGTGCGAACAAAAACACCTCACACCCCCAAACCCTAAACCCTAAACCCTAAACCCTAAACCCTGGAACCCCAAAAAAAATTTCGCAGCTGGGAGGGCAGGTGCATGAGCGCGGCGTAGGAGATGAGGGCATCGAAGGTGTCATCCGGGATCCAGGTGAGGAAGCCTTTAGGGTTTAGGGTTTAGGGTTTAGGGTTTAGGGTTTAGGGTTTAGGGTTTAGGGTTTACGGTTTAGGGTTTACGGTTTAGGGTTTCGGGTTCTAGGTTGCCCTGTAACCTAGGATTCAAAAGGATGCCTTTCTTTTTTGCTCACAGGGTTTGTAAGGGAAGCTAAACCCCAAAACGGGAATAAGGGCACTGGGGCATCCTAACGGTTAAAGACTTAGGGTTAAGGGTTTCAGGGTTTAGGGCTTTAAGGTTCGGGGGTTGAGGGCTCACCTGGCACTCCATTTACCTACTGTTTGGTGTGGGGGGGGAGGGGGGGGAGGGTTACCCTACATTTTGGGGGTATAACCTCCTGGTTCGGGTTTAGGGATTAGGGTTGAGGGTTCAGGGTTTAGGGTTGTTAAGCCACTCTGGTTTAAGGTTTTGGGTTGGTCTCAAAAAAATCTGAACGCCCTCTAAACCACATAGCTACGACCCCTTCTGCAACCCAAAAGATCTTCTTCCAAAACTGTTGGGGCTTGGGGTTCTAGGGCTCTAGGGCTCTAGGGCTCTAGGGCTCTAGGGCTCTAGGGCTCTAGGGCTCTAGGGCTCTAGGGCTCTAGGGCTCTAGGGCTTTGGGGCTTTAGGGCTTTAGGGCTTTTAGGGCTTTAGGGCTTTAGGGCTTTGGGGCTTCAGGGCTCTCGTCAAGTACTTCAGCGTCATGCGTGCGGGGCCTAAGTCACAGAATTGGGGGGGGGGGGGTGGGGAGTTGGGCTTTCCAGACCCTGCTCGAGATTAGGGGTCTAGGGTTTCGATGGTTGGGGCCTGGCGTTTCGAGTTGCCCTAAAAGCCTAAACCCGAAGCCCGAAACCCTAAACCCTAAACCCTAAACCCTAAACAAACCCTGCAGGCCCTTCTTCCCAGGCCGGGGCGCGTCCATCCATCTGGCAGAAATGCCCGACGGAGTGCTCCTGGGCCCACCTGCGTTTAGGGCTTAATTAGGGTTTAGGGTTTAGGGTTTAGGGTTTAGGGTTTAGGGTTTAGGGTTTAGGGTTTAGGGTTTAGGGTTTAGGAGGGTTTAGGGTTTAGGGTTTAGAGCTTAGAGTTGAGGGCTTAGAGTTCAGGGTTTGGGTTTTGGGGTCAGGGAGAAAGGAATATATCTAACGGCAGTTGCATGGTCCCTGAATGTGGCCCTTACTTGGGTGACCCTTATCTCCCTTATGTTCGGGGTCTAGGGTTTAGGGTTTAAGGATACCCTGGGTATTCAGTGGGTTGGGGGCTTAGGATTAAGTGTTTTGGGTTCGGGTCTGGATGCGGGTGGGGAGGGGAGGGGGCCTCCCAAAAAACCCTAAACCCTAAACTCGAAAAGCGGAACTTCACTCTAAACCCTAGCCCTAAACCCTCATCTCCAAAAATCCGAAAAACCCGAAACCCTTTGAAATGCCACGGTGGCGGCCGGATGTTCTCCGGCACGATGTCGATGCCAACCTCCGGGTGCTCTCTGTGCTTGGGGTTTGGGGTTGAGGGTTTGGGGTTTAGGGTTTGGGGTTTAGGGTTTGGGTTTCAGGGTTTGGGGTTTAGGGTTTGGGGTTTAGGGTTTAGGGTTTGGGGTTTAGGGTTTGGGGTTTCGGGGTTTAGGGTTGAGGGTTTGGGGTTTTGGGGTTTCAGGTTGGGTGAGGGGTTTTGGGGTTTGGGGTTGTAGGCTTAGGATTTGGGGTTTGGGAATTCAACGCTTGGCGGTCTGGGGTTCGGGGGGGGGCACCGCTCTCTTAAAGTAACCCCCCCACTCTCCGCGGGTGCCGACAATGTGGCCCTCCGCTTAACAAAGCAAGCCCCAAACCCTGAACCCTGAACCCGGTTTAGGGTTTAGGGTTTAGGGTTTAGGGTTTAGGGTTTAGGGTTTAGGGTTTAGGGTTTAGGGTTTAGGGTTCGCAACCCTGAACCCTAAACCCGAGCGGAACCCCAAGCCTTCCTGAACCCCAACGGAACAACGGAGCCCCAAAATCCTAATACTGGACTCCAACAACCTCAACAACGTCCAACCACCCAAGCTCCAGGCTCGGGGTTTGGGTTTAGCCACGCCAGACATGTTGGAAAAGACCCAACGCGCTGAACCAAAATAACCCCCATACAAGTCTCGAAACCCCTGAAGCCCTCAACCCGTAACCCTAAACCCGAAACCCTAAACCCTAAACCCATATAAGGCACGCCCCGCAGGTCGTAGAGCTGCGCAGCCCAGGTGAGTTTGTGCCCACAGCCTTGGGGATTGATCCCGCTTTCAGGAGGTGTTGGGGTTTGGGGTTTGGGGTGTAGGGGGTTTAGGGTTTAGGGTTTAGGGTTTAGGGTTTAGGGCTTAGGGTTGAGGGTTTAGGGTTTAGGGTTTAGGGTTTAGGGTTTAGGGTTTAGGGTTTAGGGTTTAGGGTTTAGGGTTTAGGGTTCATGGTTCATGGTATCGAGCAGGCGGTTCAGCTTAAGCTCCAAATCGTCCAAGAACCCAAAAACCAAAAACCCAAACCCAACCCCAACAACCCTAAACACCCCAAACACCCTGACACCCCTCAAACCCTAAGCCTCAAATTCTCTAAACCCTAAACCCTGAGCCCTAAACCCCAAACCCGAAACCCGAAACCCTAAACCCCAAACCCTAAACCCTAAACCCTAAACCCTAAACCCTAAACCCTAAACCCTAAACCCTAAACCCTAAACCCAAACCACTTGAGCCCGGGGGCCTGCGCCCCAGTCCAGTACCAAGGACCCGGGAGGCAGGCGCAAGCGCTCCATGATCACCACGAAGACGCACCTGGTGGGGTTGAGGGCTTTGGGGGGGTTTGGGGTTTAGGGTTTAGGGTTTGGGGTTTGGGGTTTAGGGTTTAGGGTTTAGGGGAAAGGGTTTAGGGTTTAGGGTTTAGGGTTTAGGGTTTAGGGTTTAGGGTTTAGGGTTTAGGGTTTAGGGTTGAGGGTTGAGGGTTGAGGGTTGAGGGTTGAGGGTTGAGGGTTGAGGGTTGAGGGTTGAGGGTTGAGGGTTGAGGGTTGAGGGTTGAGGGCTCTAGGGTTAGTGGATTTTGGGGTTTAGGGTCCCAGGGTTTCGGGGTTTTGGGGTTTAGGGTTCTAGGGTTTAGGGTTACAGGGTATAGGGTTTAGGGGTTCAAGGTATCAGGGCTCGGAGGTTCGGGGGTTTAGGGAAACAATGGACATTTAGGGTGTTGGGGGCTTTGAGGAGGTGGTTTTGGGTGTCGGGTTTAGTGTTGAGGATTTAGGGTTTAGGGTTTAGGGTTTAGGGTTTAGGGTTTAGGGTTTAGGGTTTAGGGTTTAGGGTTTAGGGTTTAGGGTTTAGGGTCTAGGGTTGCATCGCAAGCTTGCAAGTTGAGGTTCTGTCGGCAAGCCCGAACACGCAAAGGGCCCCACGCATAGGAACTAAACCCTAAACCCTAAACCCTAAACCCTAAACCCTAAACCCTAAACCCTAAACCCTAAACCCGAAACCCTAAACCCTAAACCCTAAACCCTAAACCCTAAACCTAAACCCTAAACCCTAAACCCGAAACCCTAAACCCTAAACGTTGAGCGGTTGATGCTGAAGATGCTGAAGCTCGGTCGGCCAAGAAGACACTCCTAAACCCGAACAGAAAACAAAAACCTGCCTTTTTGCGAGGCTTTAAGAGGGGTATGTGTTCCTCCCTGGAAGCCCGAAACCCCCAAGTCCGAAACTCAAGTAGGCATAAATTCACCCCATGACCGTAACTCTCCACCTCATCCCCCCGCCCCCCCTCTGCCAAAAAAAACTACCTGCCCTTTGAAAACAAACCGTTCATAAAACAGAGCCATGACTTTAGAGCTCAAAACGGAACAGGTATCAAATAAACAGTAGTTCTGAAGAATCAGAAGCAACAAGAAGAACAATGAAATTACGGAACTATTCATCTATTTTGTTGGATCATCAACTGTAAAAGTACGGGGCTGGCATTCTGCAGGAATCCTTGTGGGATTCTCCAAGGCAGGGAACCTACGTACCGAGGAGTACCGGAGGCTAGCGGTCTCTGGTAAAATCTAGCAGCCGCTGTTAACCGCCCCTCAGCGACGGTGGAAACGAATGCTGCGAACACACTCCCCAAGCCCTCAAGGGGTTTCGAGGGGGGTTTAGGAAGGTCGTTGTTTTTGGGGTCCTTTGTGCAAGGGTCTAAACCCTAAACCCTGAACCCTAGACCCTAAGCTCTGGCGAGTCACTTGTGCAAGGGCCTCAGGTCTACTCGCCACTCTGACGCAGGCTCCTCTTCGGGAATTGTAAGGTCGAGGGCTTGGGATAGGGTTACAGGGTTTAGGGTTTAGGGTTTAGGGTTTAGGGTTAGGGTTTAGGGTTTAGGGTTTAGGGTTTAGGGTTTAGGGTTTAGGGTTTAGGGTTTAGGGTTTAGGGTTTAGGGTTTAGGGTTTAGGGTCTAGGGTTTAGGGTTTAGGGTCTAGGGTTGTTTGGAGTTCAGGGTTTAGGGTTTACGTTTTAGTTCAGGGTTTAGGTTTAGGGCTTCAAGCCCAGACTTAAGCAAGAAGCCGGCCGTAAAGGATTGAGGGTTTGCTGGGGCTTGTGGTATCCACAAACAGATGTTGGCACAAATTTAGCAACCCCATGATTCTGTGAGGCGTTTTTGTGGGTTTGCCAGCGATTAGGGTTTAGGGTTTGGGGCTTGGGGTTTAGGGTTTAGGGCTTTTAGTTTTGAGGGCCTTTGGATGGTTTTGGGCTTTAGAGTGCTGCGTGGGGTGGGCAGGGTTAGGGTTGGGGGGCGAATAAGAGAAATAAGAAGAATGAACAAGATAACCCAAAACCCTAAACCCTAAACCCTGAACCCCAACCCGCATATCAAAAGGGCGCACGTATCCATTCACTTTATTCACGCACTCTTGCTTCGCTCGCCAGGCGCGTTGTCAAGAAACTAACCGCCGCCGGGTTTAGGGTTTAGGGTTTAGGGTTTAGGGTTTAGGGTTTAGGGTTTAGGGTTTAGGGTTTAGGGTTTAGGGTTTAGGGTTTAGGGTTTAGGTTTAGGGTTTAGGGTGTAGGGCTTAGGGCTTAGGGCTTAGGGTGTAGGGTTTAGGGTTTTGGGGCCTCTTGTTCACACTAGTATTAAGAGTATTATCGTGTCGCGCGTTCCTTGCACACTCATAATAATTTTCATGTAGCGTGTGAACAAAGAGCACTGGAAAATGGGATGTTGGCTGTCAAGGTGCACGCTTCGTTCTCACACTCGTAAAAAAACGCATGAACTTGCCTTTTATCACTCACTGTGCTCACTTCGTACCTTTCAATTAGTTTCATTCACGGGCTTGTTTTCATGCTTCCTTTCACACTCGTTATTAACTAGCCCGTGACGCACCATTCATCTCTCACACTCTTGTTCCGCAGCCTTGTCCACCCAGCACACCTTGTGACCCTAACTCTGATATCCTGCTCATTGTGGTTCGCCCCCTGGGTCTGAATCTTTAAGGTTCACGCGTCTCTCTCCCTGTCACACCTTGAGACCCTAACACACGTACAACCTTTGCTCCCAACCTGCGATAAGAAGCCTGAACAACCGTATCATCCTGGCCTTTAAGAAGAGAGACTTGCCACCCTCTTAATATCATCACCAGTTCACGCGTCTCTCTCCCTGTCACACCTTGAGACCCTAACACACGTACCACCTTTCTAATATTGGATGCCTGTCTAACCTTCCGGAATCTCCCTGTCACACCTTGAGACCCCGAACTCTAACATGTCTGGCTCTTGAAGGTGGTACGAATTGACCCTTAATGGCCCGGTTCTAAAGGGAGTTCCTCCCTATCTCAACCTGCGGCAGATCTCCAAAAAAATCTCAAAGTTCCCGGGAGGGCGGAGTCAGCTCCAAACCCAGACCCTCACGACCCGAAGCCCCCCTAAGCTTAATCCTTAAACCTGCAGCTCTACCCACAGCCATTGCCGCGACATACGAAGCCAGCCGGACTGTGCTGGCAGAGCCCGTAACTGAACGTTCGAAACAACCCTGATCTAGAAGGAGCAGAAGAATGTCATAGAACTCTAAACCCTAAACCCTAAACCCTAAACCGTAAACCCTAAGCCCTAAACCCAAAACCCTAAACCCTAATCACGACTCAAGCAAGAACAGAGCTTAGGGTGCCGCGTTTTTTTCCCTGCTTGCTTGTCTGGAGCTGGGGCTCATCACATACAATATAGGGGTATTTCCAACAATAGTGGGTACCCCTAATATGCCCCCAAGTGGTATTATCCTCATTCTAGGAACCCAAAAGAAGGGTACCCCTATTTTCGAAACCACCACATATGGTTGCGGTTGAGCCCCGACGGGCACCCCCCCGCCCCCCCTGTAGGGTTGTTGGTTGAGGGTGGTTTAGGGGAGACCGTAGACGAAGGGAAGGGGGCATACCATGGGGGGTGGGGGGCAGTGGGAGGGGCGGGGGGGCGGGGCGCAGAACGCACAGCGCACAACCATATATGGAAAGATCAGCATCACCAAGGTGACGCTTGGCGTCCCATGGATGCTGCAGAGGGCGCCTTAAATCAGAGTGCAAACTCGCTGCAGACATTTTGTCAAACCCGCAGGCATTTTTTCAAAACCATCTTAGAAACCTATATACCCTAAATCCGAAAACGCGCAACAAAGCTTCCGAACCCCCCGAACTGACCATCGTTTCTCTGGCCGGCTAAGGCTATGGATCTTGCAGCAGCCTAGGCATTGAAGGGGCCATAAAGTGCTGAACGTTCTTCCTTTCGGGAATTTGGCAACAGGGTATACTTATAGGGGCTGAATACCATAAGCCCAAAAAAGGTTAACCTTTTATATGTAGTAGGATTCTATAAAACAAAAAGAATTAGGTTAAAGCCTCCATGAAGGAGGCCTCCTGCTCCGCGACGATGGGTCCAGAGGGATCTCGAGTGGCGGCCTCCGCGTGCCGAGCGTCCTCCACGACGCGAGCGTCCGCGGGCCTGGGGGGCCATCGCTGTCAGGCCCTTAAAGAGACAGCAAGCAAGGGCCCCAGGTTTGCCGGCACGTCGCACTGGCCGTGCCAGTTCTTCCCAAAGCACACCAGCTCTCCGCTCGCCTTCACGGCGCAGGTGTGATACCATCCTGCAGCAACGGCCACCACGGGCCCCAGGTCTGCCGGCACGTCGCATTGGCCTTGGTCGTTCCACCCAAAGCACACCAGCGCCCCGCTCGCCTTCACGGCGCAGGTGTGACCGAATCCTGCAGCAACGGCCACCACGCGTCCCAGGTCTGCCGGCACGGCGCACTGGCCGGACTGGTTCCGCCCAAAGCACACCAGCTCTCCGCTCGCCTTTACGACGGCGCAGGTGTGATTCCGTCCTGCAGCAACGGCCACCACGGGCCCCAAATCTGCCGGCACGTCGCACTGGCCGTACTCGTTGTCTCCAAAGCACACCAGCTCCCCGCGCGCCTTCACGGCGCAGGTGTGATACCATCCTGCAGCAACGGCCACCACGGGCCCCAGGTCTGCCGGGACGTCGCACTCGCCGTACTCGCTGTCGCCAAAGCACACCAGCTCCCCGCTCGCCTTTATCGTGCAGGTGTAGTCACATCCTGCAGCGATCTGCAGCGACAGCAGAGCCGGACGTGAAAGCCGGCACAGGCGCGGCCAGGAAAGGTAGCACGACCTCCCCGAGCGTTTGCGACAACTTGTCGATCTCGGTGCCGGCCATCCTGCGCAGATCCGCGATGATCCAGCACATGTGATGCAACTCCCTGGTGGGCACCCACACGTTCCTCACCGGCAGGTATGCACGGGACGCGCTCATGAGCAGGCTCGCTGTGGAGGGCGTTCTGCAGATGTGCAGCTGCAAGATCCGAAATGGGCTCCGGCCTGCCTCCTGTTCAACCTGCGTTCAGGGCCTAACCAGAATCCTCAAGTTTAGGGTTGAGGATTTAGGGTTCATGCTTCAGAATCCTTTAAAGGAGGTGAAGGACGGACCACATTAACTACCCTTGGATGGGTCAGGACTGAGGGGATTCGGCGGTTTAGGGGGTCAAGGAATTCTAGGTCGGAACGTATCCACTTCGCTCCAATTCCTATGCTGGATGCTTTAGCCTTTAAACCCAAAACCCACAACCCTGAACCAAACCCCAAACCCTAAACCCGAAACCCTAAACCCGAAATCCTCTGAACCCCACATGGCAGCGTGCGCCATCCTCGCATCCCAGCCCTGACTGCTTGCGGCTGCCCTGTGAGCGCACGCCATACCTGCGCCGCATGCAGGCGCGGGGGATGTTGGGGTTGGAGGTTTGGGGTTGAGGGTTGAGGGTTTAGGGTTGAGGGTTTAGGATTTAGGGTTCAGAGTTTCGGGTTAAGACTTCGGGGTTTCAGGCTCATAGGCAACTTCGGGGAAAACGAAGCAGCTCCAGGAGGACCCCAGACAAGGTTCCTGTGAGGGGTCTAGACGAAACTCTGTGGACAGCCCTGCCATGCGCTACCCTACCAGAAGTCTAAACCCTAAAAGACCTCACAATCTTGGGATTTTCCCCCATCTTCTATGAGTCCTTAACAGGGATTATAATCGGTGCTAGTACAAGGGGGAGCATCCCAACCTCAACCCTCCACGCTGAACCCTGAACCCTGAACCTACGCCAAGGCCCCGAAGCTGCAGAGGCGAAGCCCGAAGACCCTCGCCCTAAACCCTAAACCCTAAACCCTAAACCCCAAAAGCACCGACTAAAAACCTCCCCGAGGCACCAAAACGAAAAACCCCAAACCTTGGGATGTTCCCCCTGATACTAACAGTCCGAAATAGGGATTATAGGACCCCCTATTTTTATCCCTATGAAGGCCTTTTAGTATAAGGGAACATCCCCAACCTGAACCCGCAGCCCTAAAAGCAAAAGCAACCACAAACAACAAAAACACTTAAACCCCCCAAAGCCCTAACATGTCCCCAACCTTTGAAGAAAACATACAGCTACATAAAGCTACATAAAGCTACATGAAGCTACATAAAGCTACATAAAGCCACATAAAGCTACATGAAACTACATAAAAGCTACATAAAGCTACATAAAGCTACATAAAAGCTACATAAAGCTACATAAAGCTACATAGAAGCTACATAGAAGCTACATAAAGCTACATAGAAGCCCTGGCAACCCCATCTCTGCCCCAACGCCACCGGGCGGCTTCTCCGCCGCGACAGCCGACCGCTCGCGCCAGGCCTTTGGGCGCAGGCTGAAGAAGGCATCCTGACCCAGCGTGCTTTTGAATTAGGGGTTTAGGGTTTAGGGTTTAGGGTTTAGGGTTTAGGGTTTAGGGTTTAGGGTTTAGGGTTTAGGGTTTAGGGTTTAGGGTTTAGGGTTTAGGGTTTGGGGTTCAAGGGGTTTTGGGTTCAAGGGTTTAGGGTTTAAAGTTTTAGGGTTTAGGATTTAGGGTCCATGTCCCCACTCTTGGGCTGAGGTTCTTAGGCTTCAAGTCAGCCATTCCCTCGCCTATACCATCCCTGCGTGTTCCTGTCGTGCACCAGCCCCCCAGAGAAACGCCCGAGAAAGGAACGACAGAATTATGCGGCGATGTATCCCTGAACCCTAAACCCTAAACCCTGAACCCTAAACCCCTGAGCCCCAAAAGCCCTAAAACCCCTGTGCCCCATCTCACGGTGGGCCGCCTCCTCTTCGGCGGTGGGGCAGCGAAAGTTTTCCAGCCACTCCTTTGGGCATAGGTTTATGTTTTGGGGTTTGGGGTTTCGGGTTTAGGGTTTAGGGTTTAGGGTTTAGGGTTTAGGCTTTAGGCTTTAGGCTTTAGGCTTTAGGCTTTAGGCTTTAGGCTTTAGGCTTTAGGCTTTAGGCTTTAGGCTTTAGGCTTTAGGCTTTAGGCTTTAGGGTTTAGTGGGGGTGTAGGAGAAACTTAAGGTGTAGGATTTAAGGTTTCGGGTTCAGGGCCAGGATCCACGGTCCGGGGCTTCGGGATTTGAGCTGACGGATGAGGAGAGTAAGGTCTCTGGTTCGACCCTACAACCCTAAACCCTAAACCCTAAACCCTAAACCCTAAGCCTTAAATCCCAAACCCTGACGGCAAGGAACCACCTGGGACCGGAAGGTCTCAACGGTTTTGGGTTTAGGGTTTAGGGTTTAGGGTTTAGGGTTTAGGGTTTAGGGTTTAGGGTTTAGGGTTTAGGGTTTAGGGTTTAGGGTTTAGGGTTTAGGGTTTAGGGTTCCCCCTTTGGGCGGCCCTGCCCCCAGTCTCAGGGGCGAAGGAATCACCGAGAAAGCCTCCAGCTTAGGGGTTAGGGTTTGGGGTTTGGGGTTTAGGGCTTAGGGTTTAGGATTTAGGGTTTAGGGTTTAGGGTTTAGGGTTTTGGGTTTTGGGTTTTGGGTTTTGGGTTTTGGGTTTTGGGTTTTGGGTTTTGGGTTTTGGGTTTCCCCCACACAAGGGCGACGCAGAGGTATGGTCATGACAAAGACCTGAAACGCCAACTTCTGTGTCCTGCAATATGTTCCTGCAACGAGCGCCAGCACCATCAGGATTTTGGGGGGGGTGGTCGCAACCCCAAACTGCAAGGACCGTTCTTAGGGTTAGGCGCAAAACCCTCACTGAGTTGACGAAGTCCTATCGAAACCATGGGCCTCAGAAACCTTTCCCGCAAACATCCGAAAGCCCTAAGCCTGCCCCTCAGCGGAACTAACCCACGGCCATGTGTCCCGAACCTCTCCGGGGCCCTGCTTGAACACTAATTCCCCATAACCCTAACGCTAAACGCTAAACGCCAAATGCTAAAGGCTAAACCCTAAACCCTAAACCCTAAACCCTAAACCCTAAACCCTAAACCCTAAGCCCTAAGCCCTAAGCCCTAAACTTACGCTCTGGGCACTGGCTTAGGGTCCTGGGTTAGGACTCATGAGGGCTTGCAGCTTGGCCTTCAGGACTGGGCTTCTACGGCCACGCGTGCCCCAGTAGGGTTTAGGGTAGCTAAACCCTAAACCCTAAACCCCAAACCCTAAACCCCAAACCCTAAACCCTAAACCCTAAACCCCAAACCCTAAACCCTAAACCCCAAACCCTACCTAAACCAGAGGTGCGCCCGCCTCTGCCGGGGACTGCGACGGCACCGCTGCAGGGGCTTTGCCTGCACTGGTGGCCCAGCCTCAGCACACCGGAGCCCGAAGCCCAACTTCACATTCCTAGGCTGGTTTAGGTGATTTAGGGGTTCAGGGTTTAGGGTTTAGGGTTTAGGGGTTTAGAGTTTAGGGTTTAGGATTTAGGGTTTAGGGCTTAGGGTTTAGGGTTTAGGGTTTAGGGTCCCACGAACTTTCCGCGGACTTTTCCAGGCAAGAGCTGAAGACGAGCTGCCCCGCATGCCAGGGAAGAACTGGAGCCTCTTCCAGCTCCTGAACGGCTTAAGGTTTAGGGTTTGGGGTTTAGGGTTTAGAGTTTAGGGTTTAGGGTTTAGGGTTTAGGGTTTAGGGTTTAGGGTTTAGGGTTTAGGGTTTAGGGTCAAGGGTTAAGGGTTTAGGGCTTAGGGTTTAGGGCTTCGGGCTTGGGGTTTAGGATTTGGGTCGCACAGAATCTCAAACCCGCATGGACTGTAGAGGCCCCGAACCAAACCCAAAGCCAAACCTCTCTACATCTTGAACTCTTGAGCAACGCCCTGTGCAGCTAAACCCTAAACCCTAAACCCTAAACCCTAAACCCTAAACCCTAAACCCTAAACCCTAAACCCTAAACCTTGAACTCAGACATGCATGCAAAGCATGAGCACCATCAGAAACCTAGGACACCTAGAGGCGAGGGCGGAGCGGTAGCAAGGGCGGCGCTACCTGCAGACACCCTGAACCGTTACCCTAACCCCAAAACTGTAAACCCTAAACCCCAAAACCGGAAGCCCCAAACCCCTAAACCTTAAACCCCCAAACCCCCAAACACCCTTGAACCCTAACCCTCCAATAACCGCGGCCCCCCCAAACCTATGCAAAGCCTAAACCCTAAACCCTAAATCCTAAACGGCGCTACGGGGCCTGCACCGGCGAACGAGCTCACTGTCGCCCACGCGCACGGCGCAGTGGGTCTCCTCCTTCGCGGGATGTTTGGTTTCAGGGCCTAGTTTCGGGTTTAGGTTTTGGGGCTAAGGGTTTAGGGCGACGGTTTAGGGTTTAGCGCTAAGGGGGGGTATAGGGCTTAAAGTGTAGAGGTTTAGGGTTAGGGGTGTTTAGGGTTTAGGGGTTCAGGGAAAACCTGGGCGTTCGGAGGCCCTGTAGCTTCGGGTTTTAGCAGCTCGGCCTGCGTCAGGGCTCGACGCTTCCGCAAATAAACACACCCCAAAGCCCTGTAATCTAAGCGTTGTTACATGGTCCCCTAGTACGGGTTCCTAAAAAGGTACCCCTTATACACGCCTTAGATACACTATACAAATCAAGGGGCCCATATATCTGAACCCTTTAAAGGGGGTGTTAGGGACCATACTAAGTGCCCATGAAACTACCCTCAGATATGCAGCTTATAGCCCTAGTACACCTATGCCCCGAAAATTCCCAAGCCTCGGCACCTTTGCAAGCACTAAGGAAGCCCATTTTTCACAGCTTCGGCTGTAGGGGTTTAAGGTTGGGATCCCCTTATACTAGCAGCCCTGAATGGGGAAGATAATAGGGGGCACCTTTTTTCCCGAAGAAGGAGCTGCTGGTAGAAGGGGGGGAACATTCCCCAGGTTAAGGCTCCGTAGGGCTTGGGGGTCGCAGTCGCTTGTATGGCAGAGGGTGTTGATGGATTATCGGCTTCTCTTAACGGAGGGTTAGGGTTTAGGGTTTAGGGTTTAGGGTTTAGGGTTTAGGGTTTAGGGTTTAGGGTTTAGGGTTTAGGGTTTAGGGTTTAGTGTTTAGGGTTTAGGGTTTAGGGTTTAGGGGTAGGTACCTGGGGAACCTTAGGGAAGCTTGGGGAGCCTTCGGGAGTAGTCAAGAACCCTATGCATAGAGGCACATCGCCTTCTCGTGGGCAGCTCGCAGCACTGCGCGCCCACGGAAGCTCGCCGTCCTCGCCGTCTTGCATCAAGGACTACTTGGTTTAGGGTTTAGGGTTTAGGGTTTTAGGGTTTTAGGGTTTTAGGGTTTTAGGGTCTTAGGGTTTTAGGGTTTTAGGGTTTTAGGGTTTTAGGGTTTTAGGGTTTTAGGTTTTTAGGGTTTTAGGGTTTTAGGGTTTTAGGGTTTTAGGGTTTTAGGGTTTTAGGGTTTTAGGGTTTTAGGGTTTTAGGGTTTTAGGGTTTTAGGGTTTTAGAGTTTTAGGGTTTTAGGGTTTTAGGGTTTTAGGGTTTTAGGGTTTTCGGGTTTTAGGGTTTTAGGGTTTTAGGGTTTTAGGGTTTTAGGGTTTTAGGGTTTTAAGGGTTTTAAGGGTTTTAAGGGTTTTAAGGGTTTTAAGGGTTTCAGGGTTTCAGGGTTTCAGGGTTTTAGGGTTTCAGGGTTTTAGGGTTTTAGGGTTTTAGGGTTTTAGGGTTTTAGGGTTTTAGGGTTTTAGGGTTTTAGGGTTTTAGGGTTTTAGGGTTTAGGGTTTCGCCTCAATTCTCACCGCACTTATGACCTACTTTAGGGGAGTCTTCTTCGGAGAGTTGTGATTGGGGTTATAATTATAAGTACCCGTGAACCAAGTAGGAATCTCAACAGACCCAAAACCCCAACACCCCCAAAGCCACCGAACCCTGAAAAGCCTAAACCCTGCCCGCGAGCCCTATCCCCAAAACTGGCATCAAACCTAAATTCCTGGAAACACTAAATCCCAAACCATAAAACGCCAAAACCCCTGAACCCCGAAACTTCCGAAACCCCATGAGGCCGAAAAAACCCTAAAATCTTGGGTTTTCAGGGCAGCATTGGGCGATTGAAAGGTTAAGAGTTTAGGTTTGTTGGAGGTCTAGGGCTTCAACGCCACAAGCAAAAAAACCCTAAACCCTAAACCCCAAAACCATCATCCCCTAACCCCCAAACCCTAAACCCTAAATCCTAAACCCTAAACCCTAAACCCTAAAAGGCCCTAGACCCCAAACCCCCCAGGCGCCTCTCCAGCTGGCCACATAGCAGCACCGTTCCTGCCGTGCCAGAGGGGTCAACGAAGTAGCTCAGGGTTTAGGGTTTAGGGTTTAGGGTTTAGGGTTTCGGGTTTAGGGTTTAGGGTTTAGGGTTTAGGGTTTGGGGTTTGGGGTTTGGGGCTTGGGGCTTAGTGTCGGGAACTTCCCAAGATTAGGGGTAACCTGTTGGGGGCTCAAATCGTCAGGCTTCTAGCATGTGGGGCGTAAAGGGGGACCTCTGTTTTGGGAGACGCCCCATGCAGGATCCCGGGCAGTGTGGTACAGGGTCTCAGTGGGTGCAGAATTGAGGTTTCGTTGCTTTTTCTGGTTGGGCTTGGAGTACGCTTCTTAAACGGTTTAGGGTTTAGGGCTCAATTAGGGTTTCAGGCAGGGTATGGTTCAAGGTTTCAGTTGTTCTCCTGGGTCAGGGTCACTCTGAAACCAAAATCTCTCGAGGAATCTAGGTGGCAGGGGTGGTGGTCTGGAAGAGAACTTGCGGCGTGCAGGCAAATTGTTACGCCAGGGAAGCCCTAAACTAGAAACCTGCAAAAGCTAAAGCCCATGCTTATCCATGAAGAGCCCCTGGACCAAATTGCTCACATACAACTAAGGTCGCAGGTTTGAATTCTTCATTCAAAACACTACGGGATTACTGTAGAGTACAAGGTCAAGCACTGATCTCTTTCCCCTTAATGCAGGTTCAGGGCCTACTAGAGTGTTTAGGAGCACAGGATGCAACTGCACGTGCCCACTACAATACTGCCCAACATACCCACAAAAAAAGGTCCTCAAGTCCTAAACCTTATAAACCCTAAACCCTAAACCCTAAACCCTAAACCCTAAACCTTGTCAACCAAACCCGTAAAACACATGCTCTCCGTGAAGCGCCTGACATGAAGTTTCCGTGGAAGCGGAACTGGTCGGCCAAGGACCTTACGTCCTTGGCTTAGGGTTTAGGGTTTAGGGGTTTGGGGTTTAGGGGTTTTGGGTTTAGGGTTTGGGGTTTAGGGTTTGGGGTTTAGGGTTTGGGGGTCTACGGTTTCGGTCTACGGTTTCGGGATTGAGGTTCAGGGCTCAGGGCTCAGGATTCGGGGTTTAGGGCTTAGCTTAGGGAGCTTAGGCTTTGGGGAGCTTCGGGTTTGGGGCTTTCAGTGCCTGCTTGAAGCCTCATGGGCCTGGATTATGATGCGCGTACTTCCGGGGAGCAGACAAAACTGCTCTTGGTGGCGAAGGAGGGCTCTCTGAGCTTTGGGATTCAGTGGTTATGGGATTTAGGGGTCCGGTACCTGCTGGTTGTGTGGGTTGAGGGTTTGGGGTTTAGGGTGTGGGGAGTGTAGACTTTAGGGGTTTAAGAGGTCTCTGGGATGGAGGGGCGGCATCCGGCCCTTTTCTTGTGGCGTCGACTCCCACGCGTCCAAGGGCATTTGGGGATTGCAGTTTGATATTCGGGTTCGGCCTCCTGAAACCCACGCAAACCCTACACCCGACACCCGACACCCTACACCCTAAACCCTAATTGCACCCTGCACCCTAAACCCCCAATTACACCCCCCAAAAAACAAGTTGCAGGCCTGGCTGCTGACCAGAAGGGGAACGGATACAGATCGAACCCCGGTCCACCCTCTGACTCCAGCACGCTGAGCCTGGGCTTCTTGGGGGTGGCGGGGCTGTTTGGCAAGCGTTTCCCAGACCCCTGGGAGGATCCATAGAGTAGAACCCCCAAATGGTACCCTATACTACTGCTATTGAGTCATTATTTTTGGGAACCCTTAAGGGGATCTACTTTTTTGGATCCCCCCCAGGGGTCTGGGTTTGGGTTGCGTTGGCATGGACACACGGCGTAGGTTTTCGGGAGTTGAGCTTTGGGGCTTTCAAGGTCTAGAGCTTCTGGGGTTTAAGGTTCAGGACTCGGCCAGGAAGGCTCGCAGGCGTCTTCAGCGTCTTTCGGCCGTAGCGGCTCGGAGGCTTAGGATTGAGGACTTGGGGCTTTGGCGTCTCTCGTCATATCTCTGCCATCGATCTTGTGCTGAGATATGCCTGCGCTGAAGACTTTCATCTGGAGAGTCCGCGAAGAACCTAGAGAAACGTCTCCATGCGGCATGGGTCAACCAAAAGCTGGCAATCACCAGCCTCGAATCGGCCTGCACAAAACCGCGCTGCTGCATCTCTGCTGATGAAACTGTGGCGCAGATGCTTTCAAGGGCACAAAAACGCCCAAGACTGTGGAGACGCTCGCCCCCTTGGAGCCAAACTCTTGGGTGATTTCGCTTGCTGGTGCTGCATGGTTTTTCTACCGCTCTACCAAATCTGCGCATCTGAGCGCTCCGGATCGCAGTCGCTATTGCAAAGGCATAGCCAGTGCCACGTTGCCCATCAGGCCCCCGTGGGCCTTCATCTGGGTCGTGAATGCGTGGAGAACCTTCCGTTGAAACTTCCGTAGCTGAGTCTGCCTGAACCGGTCTCCAAACACGACGACGTCTACTGGTACTTCGAGAATGGCTGTGCGGCATGGATTGCAGGACACCCCTGAGGCCAGCTTCAAATGACCCCTCACGCCTGGTATCAATACATGGCACATCATCGAATTGACGTACTACTTGCCGTTGAGAACCCTTTCAAGCATGTGTCTGTATGTCTCTACTTCCCCACATATACACCTATATGCAAGCTAAGAGTAGCCGTGTATATATATATATACATACATATATATATATATATATATATACATATATATATATATGCTCATATAGATACAGAGACATACAGACTACATCGCACGACGTCCGGAAGAAGATGCTTCTGCATTTGGTGTCTGACCATGCCCCAACCCTGAGCAAAAAAACACTACCGAAGGCAGCGCGTCCTCTAACTTTAAACCCCCGCGCCAGCAACAACTTTATTCCTCAAAGCAGACACGTATAACTTCACACGCATCCCTAAGCAGCCGCCCACTACACCCTGCGCGCTCCGCCTTCTAGAACTTGCGTGCAGGGCCTCGAGCCTCGCACAGCTCGCTGACCCAACCTAAACCCAAACCCTAAACCCTACACCCTGAACCCTAAACCCTAAACCCTAAACCCTGAACCCTAAACCCTCTCGTCCAGCGTACCTTCAACCCCGAAGCCCCTAGAGAAAGAATCTTGGTAGCTGGCACAGCCATGACCTCCACCGGTCGAGTCGAAGCGGCATACTGCAAAGTGATCAGGTAAGCTGCCCTCGGCGAGTCTTGGAGCCAAGGGTAAACTCTGAAAACCCGAAACCCGAAGCCCGAAAAAACCCTCACCCTAAACCCTAAAATCCCTAAACCCTTAGGGTCTTAGGCATCGTCCGGTGACGGGATGAGGGGAGTGCATGAAGATGCATATCTCCTGAAGCAAGCCCTAAAGAATCCCCGAGGGTTCAGGGGTTAGGGTTTAAGCTTTGGGCTTTGGGCTTTGGGCTTTGGGCTTTGGGCTTTGGGCTTTGGGCGTTGGGCGTTGGGCGTTGGGCGTTGGGCGTTGGGCGTTGGGCGTTGGGCGTTGGTGCTTGGGGTGTGGGGTTTGGGGTTTGGGCTTTGGGCTTTGGGCTTTGGGCTTTGGGCTTTGGGCGTTGGGCGTTGGGCGTTGGGCGTTGGGCGTTGGGCGTTGGGCGTTGGGCGTTGGGCGTTGGGCGTTGGGCGTTGGGCGTTGGTGCTTGGGGTGTGGGGTTTGGGGTTTGGGCTTTGGGCTTTGGGCTTTGGGCTCTGGGCTTTAGGTGGGATTTAGGGTTTAGGGTTTAGGGTTGAGGGTTTAGGGTTTAGGGTTTAGGCGTTTAGGGTTTAGGGTTTAGGGTTTAGGGCAGACCGGAGAGGAATCATGAATCAAGTGTGACCCCAAACCCTAAACCCCTCAGCCCCAACCATCAAGCTGAGGCTAAACTCTAAACCCTAAGCCCTACGAACACTACCCCAAAGAGCCAAAAACTCCGAAACCCTAAACCCTAAACCCTAAACCAACTGATTGCCACTCCAGGGAGCCAATGTGCCACCGGACACCTGAATTTTCGCTACCAAGTTCGAGGGGCTTCGTACGCTTTGGGGTTTGGGGGATAGGGCTTGGGTTTTGGGGTTTGGGGTTTGGGGTTTAGGGTTTAGGGTTTAGGGTTTAGGGTTTAGGGTTTAGGGTTTAGGATATAGGGTTCCCTTCCAGGAGATTCTACTGTCCATGAGGAAACTCCAACGAAGCTCCCTCATGACCTAAACCCAGCAAGCCGAAACTCTAAACCCTCAAGCCTTTAAGCCTTTAAACCCTGAAGCCCCTAAACCCCCTAAAAGCCCTAAGCCCTCAAACCCTCTAACCAGGCAAGCCTCTTTAGCCGTTTAAACCCTGAAGCCCCTAAACCCCCCAAAAACCCTCAGCCCTCAAAACCCTCTAACCAGACAAGCCCCAACCCGCGGCGCTACTTCAAGCGCGTGACATCCGAGGAGCGAAGCACGTCGGGTTGAGGGTTTAGGGTTTAGGGTTTGGGGTTTAGGGTTTGGGGTTTAGGGTTTAGGGTTAAGGTTTAGGGTATACTCTTCATTGGCCCACCCAACACCCTAATTAAACCACGAAATCCTAAACCCTAAATCCTTAAGCCCTAGACCCTGAATCCGACCCTCAATCCCGACACCCTAAACACCCCCGGGTAACCTTGAACCCTAAACCCTAAACCCTAAACCCCGAACCTGGCGTTTGGTTTTGGCCATGGGCGCAGCTGGGAGTACTGCCCCGACATCAGCAGCAGAGCTTGGTCAGCCAGCTCCTGCGCAGAGGGTGCTGCAAGGGCTTGGGGTTTAGGGTTTCGGGTTGTTGGAGTTTAGGGTTGTTGGAGTTTAGGGTTGTTGGGGTTTTCAGATTTTTGGGGTTTAGGGTTTTAGTGTTTAGGGTTGACGGGTTGAGGGCTTCGGGTTGGGGGTTGAGGCCGCGGGTTCGTTCGACCCAGTCACAAACTTTTTTGGAGTTTAGGGTGGGGGGCTCTCGAAATATGAGGGTCTGAATGCAAAAAGGGACTCCTGATAAGGGGCCACAATCTGGAGCCTGCCAAACTTAGGGTTTAGGGTTTGGGGCTTAGGGTTTGGGACGTTGGGTTCAAGGCTTGGGGTGCGCGCTAGGGTTTTCTTGACCCCGTCCGTCATAACAACACTTCACTGCACATCAGCAATCCTCAGCCATGATGGAATTAGGGTTTGGGGGTTAGGGGTTTAGGGCCACGGCTAAACCCCCTAAACCCTAAACGGAGGCTGGGCTCAGCTGGCTCTGGTTTTGGCTCGCTGCGGGTTGTGATTGGGTGGTCTTGGGGTGGGCATGTCTTGACACTACTGTGTTCAATTCATCAAATGCTACAGCCTAAACCCTAAACCTGGGGATGTAAGCTGAGGCAGTGGGTTCCCGACCCATCCTCACATGCCATCTATGCACTGATCAGCAACCCACAAACCCTCAACCCTAAACCCTAGACCCTAAACCCTAAACCCTAAGCCCTGAGCCCTAAACCCTAAACCCTACACCCTAAACCCTAAACCCTAACCCCTAAACCCTAAACCCTAGACCCTAGCTAGCAGCCTCTGCGCCAGGCTGGGAGATGTCGACGCAGACTCCCGGGCCCCAGTGGGGGTCGAAGGGACCTGGAGGTGGTGTAGGGGTTTAGGGTTTAGGGTTTGGGGTTTGGGGTTTAGGGTTTAGGGTTTAGGGGTTTAGGGGTTTAGGGGTTTCGGGGTTTCGGGGTTTGGGGTTTAGGGTTTAGGGTTTAGGGTTTAGGGTTTCGGGTTTAGGGTTTAGGGCTGGGGGTCTAGGGGTGCAGGGTTCAGGGCGTAGGTGGTTCAGAGGTTTAGCGGTTGAGGGGTTTTAGGGTTGTTGGTTTCGGATCGCAAGCCCATAAAGTGCCTACCTAAACCCTGAACCCTAAGCCCCAAACCCTAAGCCCGAAAGGCAAAACCCTAAACCCTAAACCCTAAACCCTGAACCCTAAACCCTAAACCCTAAACCCTAAACCCTAAACCCTAAACCCTAAACCTCACTCACTCGCCTGGCTCGGAGATGCGCCCGGCGGGGTTGACGCGGGGATCACGCGATCCCGGGCAGAGCCTCTGGGATTCTTCTCGGGCCGAAACTGAAATTATTCAGGGTTTAGGGACTAGGGTTTAGGGTTTAGGGTTTGGGGTTTTAGGGACGAGGGTTTAGGGTTTAGGGTTTAGGGTTTAGGGTTTAGGGTTTAGGGCCGGTTTACGGCTTAGGGTTTAGGGTTTAGAGCTTAGGTCCGAGGAAAGTGTCGGTGAGTTTCGAGATGAGTTTCGGGGAGATTTCTTGTTACTTTTTGCATCTTTTCAAGCTACAAGGTCTCTTGAGGGTTTAGGGTAAGGTTTGTTTAGTCTAGGGTTTAGGGCTATCCTGGAACCCCCGAAGTGCTGGAGGCTGAAATGCTCCGAAGGGCAACTCCGAAACCCCAAAGCCCAGGGTTTAGGGTTTAGGGTTTAGGGTTTAGGATTTAGGGTTTAGGGTTTAGGGTTTAGGGTTTAGGGTTTAGGGGAGTTTAGGGTGTAGGGTTTAGGGCCTCAGGTGGTGTAAGGTAACCTGAGAAGGTCCCAGCACTCTAGTCACAAGGGTTCTCGCGTCCCTTAAGCCCGAACACCTACACCCTGCATCCCTAAAGTCCTGCACCCTAAACCCAAAACTAGGGTCCTAAATCCCTAAACCCCAAACCCTAGACCCTAAATCCCTGGACCCTCGTGGCGCCAGGGCTTTCGAAAAGTCCTAAACTCTGAACTTGGGATGTTCCCCCTAAAATCAGTCCTTAAGGGTACTAGAATCCCGATTAAGGACTGTTAGTATTAAGGGGAACATCCCAACCCTAAACCTTAAACCCTAAACCCTAAACCCTAGCCCTAAACCCTAAACCCTAAACCCCAAAACCCGAAACCCGAAAAGTCCTCAAGTGCTAGCCACGCAGCTGACAGCTCTGCTCCAAGAGAGCCTGGGCTGAGACTTCCCAGAGGCAAAGGTTGCGGGTGTTGGGTTGGGGGAATTCGGGTTTAGGGTTTAGGGTTTAGGGTTTAGGGTTTAGGGTTTAGGGTTTGGGGTTTGGGGTTTAGGGTTTAGGGTTTAGGGTTTAGGGTTTAGGGTTTAGGGTTTAGGGTTTAGGGTTTAGGGTTTAGGGTTTAGGAAGTTCAATGGGTGTGGGTGGGGGGCGGGGGGCGGGGGGTGGGATTCTGAGGCTCACCAGGTTATCTGTTGGAGGGGGAAGGGGAGGGGGTGTTTGTAATGAAGGGCGAAGGGCTTCTGAGGAAGCATGCAGGGGGGAAACAACACAAGCGACGAACGGCCCTAAAAGCACCCAGCCAGACGACGTCGCTGCGAGCAAATTCTCCCACCAGACTCCCCCCCCCCCCCGCCCAAAAAAAAGCAAACAAAAAATCAATCAGCGAACCTTTCACCCTAAGGCATCAATCAGCCCATACACCTAAACCCTAATTCCTGAACTCCTGATCCCTAAACCCTAAACCCTAAGCCCTAAACCCTAAACCCTAAACCCCAAATCCTCTAGACCCTAATTCTTAGACTCCTCCATCCCTAAACCCTCACTCTCCTAAACTACCCCCTAAACTTTAAATTAGACCCTCTAGACCCTAATTCTTAATCTCTTGAATCCCTAAACCCTAACCCCCAATCCTAAACCCTAGAAACTCCTGGCGCCAACTGAAGCCTTCATCATGCACCCAGGCGGCCAAGACAGGTCCCGCAATGCCCTCTGACAGGCATGCCTTGGCTGAGGGTTTTAGGGTCTAGGGGGTGGAAGGTTTAGGGGGTTTGGGGGTTTGGGGGTTTAGGGTTTAGGGTTCAGGGTTCAGGGTTCAGGGTTCAGGGTTCAGGGTTTAGGGTTTGGGGTCTAGGAGCTTTAAGGTTTAGGGGGTTTAGGGTTTCTAGGGTTGAGGGTTGAGGGTTTACGGTTTAGGGCTAGGGCTCAGGGTTCTTGAGGTTCAGGGTTTAAGGGTTCAGGGGCGCAGGGTTTAGGGGTTCAGGGTAGTACCCTAAACCCTAAACCCTAAACCCTAAAGCCTAAACCCTAAACCCTAAACCATGTTGGGGGTTTGGGGCTTAGAGGGGGGCTCAGGATGGGCTAGCAGGGCTCCTGGGGCTGTAAAGGCTCAGGGTATGATCCAGGGCTGAGGGAGGCCCCTGAGGTGTCAAAGGTGTTGAGGAAATTGAACCTAAACCCCTGAACCCTAAACCCCAAACCCTAAACCCTAAACCCCAAAACCCTAAACCCTAAACCCTAAACCCTAAACCCTCTGGAGGCCATGGCAACCGCTGGATGCCCTTGCCCTAGAACACTCCTGGCGGGTCCTAAAGGCGGGCGGTTGCCTTAGGGTTCAGGGTTCAAGAGAATCGTTAAAGTTCGATGAGGAAGGGTCTAGAATAACTCCAACAGAACCGTGACTCACGCAAGAGGCTGCTACTTGGGTACGATTCTGGACCCGAGAATTTTCGGCCAGCAAGGTCCGACCAATAAACCTGATTTCTAGGAAAAAGTTGCCACCCGGATACGATGCCCCAAACCCGAAAAAAGTCTTTGATGAGAAAGGCCCTAGAACACCCTTCAATGGAAACCACATCTCGGACGCGATTCCGAAAACTGATGCTTTTTCGATCTGGCGGTAGTTTTCAGAGTTTAGGGTTTTGGGGGGTAAGGCATTTGAAGGGTTCAGTCATGCCCTAGACCCGAAAGCCTCAACACCGGAAACCCGAAACCCTAAACTCCAAACCCTAAAAACCCTAAAAAAACTTAATAAAAAAAAACTGAAAACCGCTAATCAAAAAAAAAAACTAAAAACCCTAAAAACCCTTAAAACCCTAAAAACCCTTAAAAACCCTAAAAATCCTTAAAAACCCTAAAAATCCTTAAAAACCCTAAAAACCCCTAAAACCCTAGAAACCCTAAGAAACCCTAAAAGCCCAGCCCTGAAAGCCCTAAAAACCCCTAAAAAAAACACTTAAAAAAACCTAAGAAACCCGAAAAAAGCACTAAGAAACCCTTTAAAAAATCTAAGAAAACCCTAAAAGCCATGAACGCCCTAAAAAAAACCCAACAAAAACCCTAAGAGCCCAAGCGGCCGGGGGAAGAGCCTCGGCGCTGCAGCGCAGGGCCAGGTCCATCGGTGGCGGGGCGTAAGGGCGTGCGGGGAAGGGGGGGAGGGGAGGGGGGTGTAGGGTGTGGGACTTGAGGTTGAGGGGTGTGTAGGGGTTTAGGGGTTTGGGGTTTAGGGTTTAGGGTTTAGGGTTTAGGGTTTAGGGGTTTAGGGGTTTAGGGGTTTAGGGGTTTAGGGGTTTAGGGGTTTAGGGGTTTAGGGGTTTAGGGGTTTAGGGGTTTAGGGGTTTAGGGGTTTAGGGGTTTAGGGGTTTAGGGGTTTAGGGGGTTTAGGGGGTTTAGGGGTTTAGGGGTTTAGGGGTTTAGGGGTTTAGGCGTTTAGGGGTTTAGGGGTTTAGGGGTTTAGGGTTTAGGGTTTAGGGCTTCGGGTTTCGGGCTTTGGGTGTTCAGGGTTTGGGGTGTTGCGGGCGTTTAGGGTCTTTAGGGTCTTTCACCTCTTTAGGGCCTTTAAGGGCCTGGGGACTGTCGAAGTTGGGGATCTTGGGGGTTACCCGAAACCCTAAAGCCTTAGGGTGGGTTCAGGGTTTAGGGTTTAGGGTTTAGGGTTTCGGGTTTAGGGTTTAGGGTTTCGGGTTTCGGGTTTAGGGTTTAGGGTTCAGGGTTTCGGACTTTCGGGTTCGAGGGGGCCTTGGACGATAGCCGCTCCCAACTGGCTTCCCTTCGGGGGGGCAACCAGTACCTATCTGTAACAGGCATCGGGACTTCGGGTTTAGGGTTTAGGGTTTAGGGTTTAGGGTTTCGGGTTCAAGTGTTCAGCTGTTCTTTCCAGAAGGAGCAGGCCGTGCAGACGCTTGCAGATACGGGCTGAAGCCCTGGCTACATCTGACTAACGCACCCTGTACTATATACATTCCCCCAGCGAGCCCGGAATCAAGAGGGTTTAGGGTTTGGGGTTTAGGGTTTAGGGTTTAGGGTTTAGGGTTTAGGGTTTAGGGTTTAAGGTTTAGGGTTTAGGGTTTAGGGTTTAGGGTTTAGGGTTTAGGGTTTAGGGTTTCAGGTTGTGGGTCTAGGGCTTACAAGGAATCCTGATGTATCTCCTATGTCGACTCGGGGTGGTTTGTCGCTACCTCCAGAACAAGACGCCACTTCAGCCATATGAAGTCCTCACCCATGAACATTCAAGCAAGACCCTGAACCCTAACCCCCGCCCGGACCCGGACCCCTAAGCCCCCTAAACCCTAAACCCTAAACCCTAAACCCTAGACCCTGAACTCTGAACCCAAAACCCTGAACCCAACACCTCCTCAACCCTGCCTAAGCCCTAAGCTTTAGGCCCTCAACCCTCAACCCCTTTAAACCCTGCGTTGCAGCTTCTTTGGTCCGGACTTTGGGAAAATCGCCACAGGGCTTCATTTGTAGTACTATGATGGACTTAGGTAGAAAACTGCCCGAAAACCCAACTAGGGTTTAGGGCTCAGGGTTTAGGGTTTAGGGTACCTACTTCCAAGATAGTAATGACGACACATGGAGTAGGCCGCTGATACAGATGCCTTTGGTTTCCGGCTTAGTGTATAGGGTTAGGATCTGATCTTCGGGGCTGTGGGCCCTGCAACCCCAAACCCAGCAACCCTAAGCCCTAAACCCTAAACCCTAAACCCTAAACCCTAAACCCTAAACCCTAAACCCTAAACCCTGACCCCCCCGCGGCCTGTTGACCATGTTGCAATGGACTCCTTCAGCGTCGACCGCCACGCCGGAGAGCGCCTTTTGGCAGAGGCTACAGCGGCTGGCTACAGGGTTTAGGGTTTAGGGTTTAGGGTGCAGGGTTTAGGGTTTAGGGCTAAGGGTTTAGGGTTTAGGGTTTAGGGTTTAGGTTTAGGGCTTAAAATTTAGGGTTTGGGGCTACTCTAGCACGGAGCACTTTTGCCGACAGCCTTTGGCGAGCCAGGGGTCGTTTGGCCTACGGGCAAAGGCGGGGCACCTGTACAAGCAAAAGCTCCGCTGTCACTGCCGTGGAACAGCAGCTCTCGCACGCTTAGGCGGCAGGAGCTAGAAAATCTGGGCTCGCTCACTTGCCCTGCTTCATCATCATGGAGCGCTTCCTCTGCGTCTTCTGCATCTGGGTCTCCTATAGAGCACGCACGCATGCATGCAGAACACAAGGATCTTCTCGAGCCCTAAACCTCTTAGACCCCTCAGACCCCTTAGACCCCTTAAAGCCCGTAAAAACCCTTAAAGCCCTTTAACCCAAAACCCCCTTCATAACCCCCTAAAACCCCTCAAAAACCCCTCAAACCCTCAAAACCCTCTAAGGCCCCCTCAACCCGCACTCCTCGTCACCGTTGGGCTTCCACAGCCCACGGTGAAGCACTTCGGCCGCCGCATCGTGCACCTTCTTGTTGGCAAGTACTTGCAAGTATAACCCTAAACCCTAAAGCCTAAACCCTAAATCTTAAACCGTAAGCCCTACACCCTACAGCCTTATAACCCCTAGTCACTAAGCCCTACTTACTTAAGTAAGTAGCTCTCAAGTAGCAGGATGAACCCAAGTTGGGTCCCTTTTGGGGCACTTAAAACTCTACGTACTTGGTAAACCCTAAACCCTAAACCCAGACCCCTATCCGCGAACCCCCGCAAATTTGGTTGCTGAGTAGGATGAACCCGATTGGAGTCTCTTTCGTTTCGGGTACTTATACCTCCACCTGGTTCCCTCAACCCTAAACCCGAAACCCCTAAACCATAAACCGTAAACCCCAAACCCTACACCCTACAACCTACACCCCACACACCCTAAACCCTAGACCCCAAACCCTAAACCCTAAACCCTAAACCCCAAACCCTACACCGTAAACCCTCAACCCTACACCCGTTAAGCCCTCCGCACCTTCTCCCAGCCATGGAAGCGGCCCCGCTGGCTCAACGTGCCCACGGCATTGGGGAAAGCATGGTGGACCTAGGGTTTAGGGTTTAGGGTTTGGGGTTTGGGGTTTAGGGTTTAGGGCTTAGGGTTTAGGGTTTAGGGTTTAGGGTTTAGGGTTTAGGGGTTAGGGTTTAGGGTTAGGGTTTAGGGTTTAGGGTTTAGGGTTTAGGGTTTAGGGTTTAGGGTTTAGGGTTTAGGGTTTAGGGTTTAGGGTTTAGGGTTTAGGGTTTAGGGTTTAGGGTTTAGGGTTTAGGGTGAGGGTGTAGGGTTTAGGGTTTAGGGTTTAGGGTTTAGGGTTTAGGGTTTAGGGTTTAGGGTTTAGGGTTTAGGGTTTAGGGTTTAGGGTTCAGGGTTAGGGTTTGGGGTTTAAGGTTTGGGGTTTAGGGTTTAGGGTTTAGGGTTTAGGGGTTAGGGTTTAGGGTTTAGGGTTTAGGGTTTAGGGTTTAGGGTTCAGGGTTTAGGGTCTAGGGTTTAGGGTTTAGGGTTCAGGGTTTAGGGTTTAGTTTTTAGGGTTTAGGGTTTAGGGTTTAGGGTTTAGGGTTTAGGGTTTAGGGTTTAGGGTTTAGGGTTTAGGGTTTAAGTTTAGCGTTTGGGGTTTGGGGCTTCGGTTCGGGGAGACATGATCGGTGGTTAAAATGGGATTCCGGCGCCTACTTAAGCGCCGCCCCGCCACTGTAGGGGGGGGGGGGGGGGGGGTGGGGGGGGGGGCGGCCTAGGCCTTGAGTTTAACGTTTAGGGAGACATGATCGGGGTTAATTCAGATTCAGGGGCCCTAAACGGGATAATCCAGGTTCAGAAGCGACGGGCTCAATAGCCTCAAAGAGAACCAAGCCGCGTCGTGGAAAAGCATCTCATTCCAGCGGTGCTTACCACCCAACACCATAGCCATGACCTTGGCGCCAGCGGTTCGAAGCTCGAGGTACAGTACGTACGACCCGAAGGCGTTCAAAGACTTGTTGATTCGTAAAACACGAACAAGCCCCACACTCAAAACTCCGAGTTAAAGCTAAGCCTAAAAGAAACTTGGCGAGCAGCCCGCAAGAACGTCGGAAGATGCGGACTCTTCAAAACAGACCCGGGTCCCCGAGACGCCGGCTCCCAAAAAACGACCCGTCTCTGCAACCAAACATGCTACACCCCGAGTAGGGTCAGAACATGTCAAAGCAACTTCAACGCCTAGAACCCCTTCTGAGCCTTCGTTCCCCTGAACGCTGAACCCTCAAGGCCCTAAAGGCCCTTAGCCCTAAACCCTAAAACCCCTAACCCCTAAACCCCTGCAATCCGCCAACCCTGGCACCTAAACCATCAACCCAACAACCACAAAACCCTAAAACCCTAAAACCCCTATACCCACCAAAGCCCCCAAAGCCCTCAATCTAAGCCTTAAACCCTAACTTTAGCCCCCAAAACCGCAAAACCTTACCCTTCAACCCTAAAACCCTAAAGCCCTAAAGCCCTAAAGCCCTAAAACCCTAAAGCCCTAAAACCCTAAAAACCCTAAAACCCTAAAACCCTAAAACCCTAAAACCCTAAAACCCTAAAACCCTACAACCCTAAAACCCTAAACCCTAAACCCTAAAACCCTAAGACCCTAAAGCCCTAAAGCCCTGAAACCCTAAAGCCCTACAACCCTAAAACCCTAAAACCCTAAAACCGTAAAACCCTACAACCCTAAAACCCTAAACCCTAAACCCTAAACCCTAAACCCTAAACCCCAAACCCCAAACCCTAAACCCTAAACCCCTAAATCCCCCGAAGCTGGGGCCGCGGCGTTGTGCAGCACGGGCCAGGTGCGGCCCGGATCCTGCGCGAGGAACTCGTTCCAGGGGAGGGAGTGCCTTGGCTGAGCCACCTTTCTTCTTGGGATTTCGGGTTTAGGGTTTAGGGTTTAGGGTTTAGGGTCTAGGGACTAGGGTCTGGGGCCTGGGGTCTAGGGCTTAGGGTCGCTAGGGACTCTCTCGTTGCCCCGGCCCCCGCAAGTATGGTAACAGACTCGCACAAAACTGTGAGGAGGTGTGCTCTGTAGTGGTCTTTGCAGTATGTGTGAACCAACTAAAGTGAAAAGCAAGTTGTGCCCCAGTCGCGTGAAGTTGGTGATGAACATCCAGGCCGCCGAGAACCCGACGCGCGCGAAGAAGGACACGGTGAACAGGAAGCGCCAGCCCTCGCTGAGGGGACGTCCCAGAGGGTAAGTTCCCAGGAGCCAGACGCAGGCCCACAGGGAGAGCACAAAAGCGTTGTGCTTGACGCGGCGGGGAACCCACTTGCTCCAGAACCTCAGAGAACAGGGTTTAGGGTTCTAGGGTTTAGGGTTGAGGGTTATGCCGAAGGGTTTTTAGAGGGGATTTAGGGATTATAGGTCCCCAAAAACCAACTTATAAACCCCGAGTGCGAGACTCGCTCCACAACCTCTTCAAAGTTCTCAAGTTTCAGATCTATCTACCAGGTGCAAACCTACCATAAGCAATCCCAAAACCGAGGATCCTCTCACATGGGACAACCCCCAGTGGCACCCTGGCTGGGTCCTACTTGAAGTAAAGCAGGGTTTGGGGTTTGGGGTTTACGCAGGTAACTGTATAGCTGTAACTTGTCATAGCCGCGCCTCATTTGAAGACTTTCAATACTGCTTTTAACTACACCTTAACCTCCCAGACCCCCAGACCCCAAACCCAAAACCCTAAAGGCCCTAAACCCTCAACCCGACACCCTTACGCCGAGGGACTCCTTGTTGCACTTGCCGCCCGCGCCCTCGTCCGGGAAGTGCATCCACCACTCCAAGGCGAACAGAGAGCCTCTTTAGGCTGTTCAGGGTTTGGGGTTTAGGGTTCGGGGTCTAGGGTTTAGGGTTTAGGGTTTGGGGTTTCTACGGTCCCTTCTTAAGTTGAAACCGTACCCCTTCGACAGAAACACTTCCACAAATACGAGTCCAGGAGCCGGTGTCGTTCAGACCGAAGAAGTGGATCACGGGGATGAAGGGGACCGTGAGCAGGTACCTGCTGCAGGCAGGAAAGACCACTGCCACATGTAAGAAATGCGCATTTTAGGGATCAGGCTGTAGCCTGTAGGCCCACCTCCTCAAAATGTGAGGTGACACTTTTGCCCTGACTCAGGCTGCCCTAAAATCTGGGCAGTGCTGCAAAGGCTTAGGACCGCTAAACCCTAAACCCTAAACCCTAAACCCTAAACCCTAAACCCCAAAACCAGAATCCCTAATAGAAAGTGAATGGCCAATGCTCAAAACAAGCTGGTCCATCCTCACCCGGAGGCTCCCATTCGTACCCCAAAAGGAGGCCTACATGCGAGAACTGCCCAAATGGAGCCCGGCCTTGCCCTGAACCCTAAGCCCTAAACCCTAAACCCTAAACCCCCACCCCAACCCTAGGGCTTAGGGGCTGAGGGCTGAGGGCACTTGTACCAGTTGGAGCTCCATGGCCCAGCCCACTGCTGCAGCGCGTAGTGGAACTCCTCTCATGGCATGGCTGTTTAGGGTTTAGGGTTTTAGGGTTTTAGGCTTTAGGGTTTAGGGTTTAGGGTTTAGGGTTTAAAAGTTTAGGGTTTAGGGTTTAGGGTTTAGGGCTTCGGGCTTAGGGCTTAGGGCTTAGGGCTTCGGGCTTTAGGGTTGAGGCCTTATATACCCTAGAGAACCCCAACCCTTTTAGAAGATGCCAGAAAGGACCCTAGGAAGCCCTAAAACCCTTAAGGCAGAGCCCGAAACCCCTAAACCCCATTCGGGGACCGCGTGATTCCCTACGACACTCCTCGGGATCCCAGCCGAACTCGCCCTGGATCAGCAGGTCCACGGTCGAGGCGTGGTGCCTGTTTGGGCTCTTGGGATCTCTTGGGGCTCTTGGGGGCTTCTGGGTTTGGGATCCATAAACATGGCAGTATCCTATACACGACAACTACAAGCATGATGGATGTGTTCATATTTTAGGGTTCCTTGAGCTTCTGCCAGAAATCCCCATACCCCCCATCGCGTTGCCTGTTGTGCTCCAGGACGAACTCTTCCCATGGCAAAGAGAAGAAGTCGGCAAACGGATGCGTGAGGAAGCGCTGCCACTCGTAGACTGGGAATGTGGCGCCATGCATCACATCGTGATCGATGTAGATCCTGGGCTGTAGGGATTCAGGGGTGTAGATCCCAGGCATACCCCGCATGACTTTGCACCGCAAAGCACTCTGTTCTTCCAGACCACAAAGTTCCTTTGCTCTCGAATGCCCCTTGAGGAGTCGTGGCAGTACTCGACGCAGTTAGTGACGCACCACCCACGACAGGTGCGAGGGCTGCCATCCTGGTCGACAGCTACGACCGTACCTGTCCCAACGATTTGATATGCCTATTCTTCGAGTACGCTGCACGAAACCCTAAACCCTAAACCCCAAGAAACGACTTCTTCGAGCTCTTCAGATCCACAAGGCCCCCTCTTTAAGCCTCTGTGTGCAGCCGGATCTCTGCTGGATGGCGATGTAGGAGAAGGGGATGCCGAAGCAGAGCGTGCAGGTCCACCAGTAGTCCGGGAAGGTGGCCAGGGCCCCGCAGTAGGCGACGACCATCAGTATCTGACTGAAGAAGATGGCCGTGAGGACGTTCCACATGTAGATCATCTGCTCCTCAGCTGCTCCGATGGAACCCTTCTGATTCAAAAAACATCCATGGCCTGTTATTCAAATAGCCAGCTCTATTCTTAAAGATAAAGGGGGGTTTGATCTGGTCTCTTACTCAAATACCAAGCTCTTTTTCTTTCAAAAAAGGGTGGTCAAATCCGGCCTAGGCTCCGGGGTAATTTTGGTGAACAGGAAAGCCAGGTTCTGCGGCATCGGATCTGGCTTGTTCGGGGTCGGGAAGAGCCGGTTGGTCTTCAAGCTCCTTCCGAAGGCGAAAGCAACGCTCGGGGTTAGGGTCGAGCAAACCCTATACCCTAAACCCCAAACAGGATCAGGGTTCAATTTAGGGGTCTGTTTAGGTTTGGGGTTTGGGGCTTGGGTCTGGGAATAGGTTCGCCTCGGCGGCGAACGAGTCTTGCATCTTGGCTGTCACAGGGTCTGGGGCTTAGGGTTTAGGACTTACGGTTTAGGGTTTTGGGCTTAGGGTTTAGGGCTTAGGGTTTAGAGTCGCACTGCGAAGAAGGGAGGAACGATTGTGAAGCATGCCCTAAACCCTAGACTCTAAAGCCTGAACCCTGAACCTGGGAACCCTCAGCTCCTGAACCCCACTCTGAAAGTCCAAACCCGCTCCTAAACTCCAAACCCCTCAAAGCGCTGAAATCCTGAGACAATAACAACCCTGAAAACCCTAAAGCCTAAACCCTCAGCCCTGAACACCCTACAGCCTAAGCCCTGAAACCCTAAGTTCCGCAAAAAAACCTTGAAATCCTGAAGAAAAAAAGCCTTGAAACCCCTAAACCGTAAGCCCTGAAACCCTAAGCTCCCAAGAACCCTGAAACTTCCCTCAAAACCCTACACCCCAAACCCCAAACCCCAAACCCCAAACCCTAAACCCTAAACCCTAAGCCCTGAAATCTCAAGGTTCAGGGCTGCTCAGGGGAGTCCTGTTCTCGTTGTTCTTCTCCACTGCCAGCATCTTGTCCTCCCCAAGGGGTTTAGGGTTTAGGGTTTAGGGTTTAGGGTTTAGGGTTTAGGGTTTCGGGTTCAGGGTTTAGGGTTTAGGGTTTAGGGGTTAGGGTGTAGGGTTTAGGGTTTAGGGTTTAGGGTTTAGGGCTAGGGGCTAAGGGATTGTGGCTGAGGGCTTGGAGGGGTTGAGGGCTTCGAGTTAGGGCTTTGGGCTTTGGGGGGCTTGGGGCTTAGGGTTGAGGGCTTGGGGTTTAGGGTTTAGGGCTAGGGGTTTAGGGGTAGGGGTTTAGGGTTTAGGGCTAATTAGGGGTTTGGGGTTTAGGCAAAAGGGCTTGGGGCTTGGGGTTTAGAGGGTTCTTTCGGGCTTGTAGGGTGTTACGGAACTTGTAGGGTTAGGGTCAAGCTGTCTCGGCTTCTGCCAGTCCTTGCTCTGACCCACCCCCGACGCGTTCGGGTCGGCCTCACCTCAAGGGTTTGGGGGGTTTGGGGTTCAAGGTTTAGGGTTTGAGGTTTGGGGTTTGGGGTTGTTCGGGTTTGGGGTTCAAGGTTTAGGGTTTGGGCTTTGGGCTCCGGGGTGTGGGGTTTTAAGGTTTAGGGTTGGGGGTTTGGGGCTGTTCGGGTTTGGGGTTTGGGGTTTGGGGTTTGGGGTTTGGGGTCTCTAGGGTTTGGGGCTTGGGGTTTTTAGGTTTGGGGCTTGGGGTTTTCAGGGTTTGGGGTTTGGCGGTTTATTGGTTTAGGATTTCGGGTACGGGGTTTGGGGTCTAAGGCTTGAGACTTAGGGCTTGGGATTTCGTATGCTGGCTCGGGAAAAGGGGGTTTAGTCTGTTCGTTTCGGGTTTACAGGTCGAGGGATTGGGGGGTTTAGTAGGGGACTGAGGTTGTCGCGTTGAGGGGAAAAAATGGAGCGCGCCGCCGAGCTTCCAGAGGCCCGAGCTTGCAACAAGGGCTTATATTGGCTCATACCGACCGAGGCACATACATCAAGATTACATGGCTCGTAAAGCTGCAGTACTTAGGCTTGGGTTGGTGGTGTTTCAAGGTTTGAGGCTTGAGAATATGTGAGGCTTGGGGATATGTAGGTCGTTTGGGACACCCACCTGGCAGGGCGTTCTTCAAGGCGGCGATTTCGTGGTCGTGCTCATATTTCTTCTTAAGCCTCGGATGTCCGCGTCCAGGGTCCAAGGGGGCTTAGGGCTTTTTGGGGTGAAAAAAGGCACCACAGAAGGCGCGACCACAGCTGGGGTTTAGGGCTTAAAGGACTTCAAGGGCGGTACAAAGGCTTATAAGGGCGTAAAGGGCCTTAAAGGCTTTCAACTCTTGCTTCGCTCGAACAAAGCTCCCCAAACCCAGGAACCCCTGCAACCTGAAACCCGCAACCCCTACACCCGTAAACGCTCTCCGAGGAACTCCTCCAAGTATTCGTCCGCACCGTAGAAGATTGACGCCTTCGTGTGTCCCTGCCTGGGCTCAGTGCTTCTCCGAAACCCTAAACCCCTAAAGCCCAAAACCCCTAAACCCCTAAACCCCTAACCTCTAAATCCTAAACCCTAAACCCTACACAAAAGGGCTTAAGACGTTGTAGGTCTGGTTTCGTTGGGGGTTTTAGGGCTGGGCTTGGGTGAGCTCCCCGGTTTTGGGTGAGTGCTTTGGCAGCTTTTAGGGGGGGTTTTAGGAGGCTTTTAAGGGGTCTTTGAAGAAGGCTTTTAGGGGACTTTTAGGAGGAGTTTAGGGGGCTTTTAAGGGTAGGACTCTATGGAAGTCCACTAACAACCCTACAGTCTGCACCTGAAGCCCCAATGGCCCACCAATAGCACTAAACCAACTGAAGCGCATAAGCCCGTAAACCCTAAGCCCTCAACACGCATGGAGCCGAAAGAGCGTTTTGGGCGGCAGGTTCTGTGAGGGTTTATGGTCTAGGGTTTAGGGTAAAGGGGGTATAGGGTTTAGGGTTTAGGGTTTAGGGTTTAGGGTTTAGGGTTTAGGGTATAGCGTTTAGGGTTTAGGGTTTAGGGTTTAGGGTTTAAGGTTTAGGGTACCCTTCGCTGCAGCCCAGCGTCTTGCCCCCGAGTAGAGGCGCGTTCTTTGCCATTTTGTGGTACGCGGAAAACTCACAACTCCTCCGGAGTTGCGCGAGCCACTTGCTTGTCGCTGAGCGGCCGAGGAGAATGCCAGCACGTTCAGGGTTTCGGGCTTCGGGGTTAAGGATTAGGGCTTAGGGATGGGCTGTAAGGATTTTGGGCTTAGGGATGGGCTGTATACTCGGCTGTGGGAATCCTGAAGCATCCTAAACCAGCCGTACTGAACCCTAAATGGTCCTAAACCCTAAACCCTATACCCTAAACCCCACACCCTAAACTACCTGACACTCGCTGTGCACCCCTTTATATGGGAGACCTGTTTCACAAATTTCCTACTCAGAACGACTGGGTTCAGCCCTGAAACCCCAAAACCCCTGACATCCGATCAGCCCACCCTCTACATGCCACAATCGGAGTGGTTCTTCGTAGGACATTCGGACAATCAGTTCAAGGCTTAGAGGAAAGGTAGGAAATTAGGAAGATCGCTGGGGAAAAGGTTCCTACAACTCCCTAATTCCCCTACTGCGAACGAGAAGGCTGACCCTACAAACCCTGAATCCCCACATCCCGAGACCGTCCCTTCTTGCAGGACAGGTCCCCCAGCCGTCTCACATACTCCCAGGCTACCCCCAGAACTGCCCCACCCAAGTAAGGCTTGACGAAGGAGAACATGGGTCTAATTTTGGGTTGGAGGTGCGTGTGAGGGAGTCAGCCCTAAACCCTAAACCCTAAACCCTAAACCCTGAAGGGCTTCTGGGGATCCAGGGTTCCGGGTTCGGATGACCGCGGAAGCTGCGTCGGGAAAAGGCCCTGAACCCCAGACCCCTCAACCCCAAACCCTTTTAAATCCCCTCAAACCCTACTATGGGTTTCGGGTTTTAGGGTTTGTAAGGTTTAGGGCTTAGGAGGGTAAACCCTCTAACCGTAAGCCTAAACTCAAGCCCAAGCTCCAAAGTGGCGCTCCGCAGAAAACTTTCCCCAAGCCCGAAACCCTAAACCCTCGAAACCCCTGCACTTGCCTCCAGCTCCTGCTTGAATCTCTGCTGAGCCATAGACTGCGCGGAAGCCTCGAACATGGGCGTTAAGTCTTTGGAGTTTGGAGGTGCAAGGTGCTGCAAGGTGTCTCATCAGTTGGCAAGCCACGTGGGGGACTATGCGCATCACGTTGGGGGATGGCGTAACGAGCGGAGAGCCGAAGTAGGTTGCTGGATGTGCTGAGAATCCTTGAAAGAAGGGGCCCTGGAGGCCTTGAGGCCTTGAGGATTTTTTGGTCTGGTCTCGGGTATGGGCCGGGACATGTAAGAACTTCAGGAGGGGAGTTCCTCAAAGTGAGGTACCCCAAGGGGTCTGGAAGGGCTAAGCGGCTAAACCCTAAACCCGAAACCCTTAATCCTAAACCCTAAACCCTAAACCCTACACCCTAAACCCTAAACCCTAAACCCTATACCCAAACCCTAAACCCTAAACCCTAAACCGCGCTGAGGAGTGCAGAGTTTAGGCACTTAAAAGCACCTCCACGGCTGCCGTCATCGCGCCGCGCTCTGCGGCATCTCCGCAGAGCACCACGAAGTCCGCCTGAATTTTGGGTTTAGCGTTTAGGGTTTAGGGTTTAGGGTTTGGGGTTTAGGGTTTAGGGTTTGGGTGTAGGGTTTGGGGATTAGGGATTAGGATTTAGGGTTTAGGGTTTAGGGTGTAGGGTGTAGGGTGTAGGGTTTCGGGTGCTTTAGGGGCCTGGGGGGGCGTACGGTTTAGGATTTGGGGTTCCGAGTTGAGTTTTCAGGGCTTCGGGGAAAGCCGACAACTCGACACAAATAACCCTTACCCTGAACCCTATTAAACCCTAAGCCCTTAATCCGCGAAAGCCCAAGCAGCAATAAGGTAAAACAAGCCGAAGCCAAAAGCCCTGCTGCTCAAAACCACTAGGCTCTAGACCCCCCGAACCTCTAAATCCGTAAACTCCTAGACCCCCAAATACCTTTGCTTTAGCCTTAATCCATAACCCTACACCCCTAAATAACTAAAATAGCTATGACTAAACCCCTCAACCTGAAACTTAATTCTACTTTAAATCCCGAAACAGGCCCAAAACCCCTCAAAACTAACCTAAACCCTACATCCTCCAAGTCTCTAAACCCTGAAAACCCAACCCAAATTCCGAAAAATCCGCAAAAAAGTCCCCAGGAATGCCCCTTGATCCCCAAAAAAACCAAGCAAAACCCAAACTCCTATACAAAACCCAAAAAACTAAACAGCGTAAAAATCTTAAACGCTGTACCCTTGACACTCTGGTGTAACACCATAAACACCCCAAACACACAAAACGTCCTAAACACCCCAAACCCTAAGCACCATTCACACCGTAAACAGCCCAAGCAACCTAAACGCCCAACACACTCGAAACACCCCAAGCCCTATGAACAGCCTAAAGCCGAAACTCCGAACAAACCCCAACATCCCTACACCCTTAACCCCTGAACCCCTGAACCCCTGAACCCCTGAACCGCTGAACCCCCAAACCCTAAACCCTAAACCCCCCCAAAAAGCCCCTCGCCTGCACCGCGCCGGTGCGGAGGTCCCCACGGAGCCGGCGGCCATCTTTGGGCCGGCCTTGGGATGCTTTTTCGGGAGCTTTTGGGGTTTGCGGGTTTGGGGTTTGGGGGTTTAGGGTTTAGAGTTTAGGGTTTAGGGTTTAGGGTTTAGGGTTTAGGGTTTAGGGTTTAGGGTTTAGGGTTTAGGGCTAGGGTTCAGGAGTTTTGGGATGCTTTTGGGGAGCGTCTAGGGTTAGGGGGCTAGGGGTTTAGGGTTTAGGGCTAGGGTTTAGTAGATTTAGGGTTTAGGAGTTTAGGGGTTTAGGGTTTAGGGTGTAGGGTTTAGGTACCCGCTCTGTTTGTTTTTTTGTTGGCTTTAGGGACTTTAGGGGTTTCGGGTATAGGGTTTAGGGTTTGGGGTGTAGGGTTTAGGATTCACTACTTCTTATTTAGGTACCCCCCATTAGAATCCCTATTAAGGACTTCAGTATACAGGGGAACATCCCAAGGTCTAGGAGTTTAGGGGTTTAAGCATTAGGGGTTTAAGGTTTAGGGTTTAGGGCTAGGGTCTGGGGTTCAGGAGTTTAGGGGTTTAGGGTTTAGGGCTAGGGTAGAGGGTTTCGGAGTTTAGGGTTTAGGGTTTTGGGAGTTTAGGGGTTTAGGGCATTAGGGGTTCAGGGCAAAGTTTGGGGTCTAGGGGTTTAGGGTTAAGGGGTTTTGGGCTTTAGGGGTTTAGGGCAAAGTTTGGGGGTTAGGGATTTAGGATTGGAGGGTTGGTGCGTTCTTTCACATCATGGCGCCGCCCGCCCTGCTCAGGCCATCTTCGATCCTTTCCCGCAGGGTTTAGGGTTTCGGGTTTTGGGGTTTAGGGTTTCGGGTTTAGGGTTTAGGGCTAGGGTTTAGGGTTTAGGGTTTCGGGTTTCGGGTTTCGGGTTTCGGGTTTCGGGTTTAGGGTACCATCTCCGTCAGCACGCGCTTTGCAAGGAAGGAAGCCCTAAACCGCCCCAAAGCTCACAGCAATAGAGCAATAATACAAATGACAAAAAAACTCTATCGACCCCCAACCCTAAACCTGAAACTCCTAAACCCTAAACCCGAAACCCCCAACCCTAAACCTTAACCTCTTGAACCCTACTCTCGAACCTTAACCTCCTGAACCCTAAACTCGTAAACCCTAAACCCTAAACCCTGAACCCTAAACCCTAAATCCTAAACCCTAAATCCCAAACCCTAAACCCTAAACCCTAAACCCTTAACCCCAAACCCTAAGCCCAGAAACTTCGGATTCTTGCGGGCCGCCGGATGGCTTGTTTGGGCAGAGGCCGCCGCGGACCGCCTGTAAACCCTAAGCCCGACACCCTAAACCCTAAAGCCTAAACCCTAGCCCTAAACCCTAAACCCTAAACCCTAAACCCTAAACCCTAAACCCTAAACCCTAAACCCTAAGCCGAAATGCCCCCTTGAACTTTCACGCAGAGCTCAAAAAGCCCCGCGCCGACCACGGCGTAGGCTGCCCGCATGGCGAGGAGAGACACCTTCCAAGGGTTTAGGGTTTAGGGTTTAGGGTTTAGGGTTTAGGGTTTAGGGTTTCGGGTTTAGGGTTTAGGGTTTAGGGTTTAGGGCTTAGGGCTTAGGGTTTAGGGTTTAGGGCTTAGGGTTTAGGCTTTAGGGTTTAGGGTTTAGGCGGGTTTAGCATCCTCAAGTTCGAGCATTCACTAGTTTAGCCGCTTTCAGGCACCCGAAAAGTACCCACCCACCAGACAATCCCGTACCATTCAGATGTGCCAAAGCTTCACACACAACCCAAACCCTAAGCCCTAAAGCGTGAACCCCAGGCCCTGGAACCTTGAACCCGACCCAGAACCTTAAGTTTTGGACCCTAACACCTAGGCCCTCAACCCTGAACCCTAAACCCAGGGTAGGGCGGGGGGTGGGGGGGGTGGAAAGGCACCCTTGTCTTGCCCAATGTTCTGATGACCTTGCCCAATGATTTTTTTGGTTTATGACCTTGCCCCATGTTCTTATGACCTTGCCCAATCTGTTTATGACCTTGCAAAATCGTTTTATGATCTTGCACAATGCATGTATGACCCTGCCCAATCATTCTATGATCTCGCCCAATGTTTTAACCTTGCCCAATCTGTTTATGACCTTGCCCACTCTCTTTATGACCTTGCCCAGTTCATAAAACAAGATTTTGACCTTGCCCCATGATTTTATGACCTTGTCCAATTTAGAGGGCTTGGGGTGGTTTAGGGCTTAGGGACTGGGACTTAGAGTTGAGAGATTTTCGCGCTTGGGGTTTTTAGGGCTTAGGGCTTGTAGGCTTCGGGATTTTCTAGGGCTTAGGGCTCAGGGTTTAGGAGTTAGGGATTTTAGGGTTCAAGGTTTATGGTTTAGGGTGTCGGGTTTAGGGATCAGGGTTTAGGGTTTAGAGTCTGGGGCTGGTCTCGGATTCTCAACACTCTCAAGTTCTAGCGTCAAGGGACTAAAGGAGGGACCCTTATAAGGGACCTTGGGGGTGATTTCGGGGCTACTTAGGCATATAGTGACTATATAAGGGTCCCTTCTAGCTCCCTCCTTATACCCCTCAAGGGCTTGGGTCTGGGGCTTGCCTAGCTGCTTCAATCCCGCGTGCCGCCCGGCGCCTTGATGCGGTCCACTTGCAGCAGGGCCGCAATGCTCGCCTGGTTAAGGGGTTCAGGGCTTAGGGCCGTTTAGGGTTTAGGGTTTAGGGTTTAGGGTTCAGGGTTTCGGGTTTAGGGTTTAGGGTTCAGGGTTGAGGTTCTAGAAGTCAACGGTGGCCGTGTAGAACCACCGGTGAAAAACCACTTCTGTCAACCCGAGGTACAGCTGCGCTCACCGACCGGTTCATCAACGTTTGGGGTTCTAGGGTTCAGGGTGCAATAAGGAAGTTACCAAGTGCTTGAAGGGCAGTTGAAGAAGGATTGTAGCCGGTTATAACTTTCTCGACCTTGCTTCTCAGAAGAATGGGAGCACTTCTGAAGGATTGCAGGTTCATCACAGGCCGTAGGTACAGTCCCGGCGTCCCAGCGCCCACGCAAGCCCCCGGCCCGCAACAACAGATCAAGCTTGCACTGAATCCCTCCGCCTTAAAAGGCCTTACAAACCAAAGCCCTAAACCAGTAATACCTAACCCCTAAACGCTGCCCCCTAAACCCTAAACCCTAAAACCCTAAAACCCTAAAACCCTAAAACCCTAAAACCCTAAAACCCTAAAACCCTAAAACCCTAAAACCCTAAAACCCTAAAACCCTGAAACCCTAAAACCCTAAAACCCTAAAACCCTAAACCCTCCTTGTCCAAACTTTGAAGCGCCGCCTGCACAGCTTGCTGCCCCTGAACGGAGCCAAGCTGCTCGACCTGGTTTGGGGCTCAAGGTTGCTTAGGGCTTCATAGGGTTTAGGGTTCAGGGCTTAGGGTTTAGGGTTTAGGGCTTGTTTAAGGGTGTAAGGGTTTAAGGGTTTAGGGGTTAAGGCTTGGAGCTTTGGGGTTTGGAGCTTAGGGCTTAGGGCTCAGGGCTCAGGGCTCAGGGCTTAGGGCTTCGCGCTTAGGGCTTAGGTTCGGGGTCGTTGCTGCTCACTTCGTTGATTTGGCACGCTCGGGCTAACGATGGGATACTGATGGGATTACACTTGGGGTGGCGGTGGCCTTTATAGAGGGTCCCACTACTCCTAGGCTCTTTAAGGTTCTGTAAGGTTTCCTAGGTACCCTGAACCCTGGCCCTGGACCCTCGACCCATGAACCCCCCTCCCTGAACTACCCTAAATCCTATACTTTCTCCCTTCATCAACCCATGTCTGAGCCTCATCTTGTCCTTTCACTTCCTCAGTCCTAAGCCGCCCTCAGCCCTGAACTGCCCTCAGCCCTGAACTGCCCGAAACCACCCTAAACCCTCAACCCTCAACGCTCAACCCTAAACCCTAAACCCTAAACCCTAAACCCTAAACCCTAAACCCTAAACCCTAAACCCTAAACCCTAAACCCTAAACCCTAAACCCCACACCTCGAACCCTAAACCCTGAACCTTCAACCCTGAACCCCCAGCATCTGGGGGGCGCCACCGAGGTTGGAGGAACCTCGAAGCCCACCGTGGCCTCCGCGCGCGCGCGCGCGCGAGACTCCGGGCTTTGGCTTGGGGGCTCCCAACTGTCGATCTGCTTCTTATTTGAGTGTCTATGTGGATCTTGTGATGAATGAATGTTCGCTTCGACCCCCTTCCTCCCCCGCCCCAACCCTAGACCCTAAACCCGAAACCCGAAGCCCGAAACCCTAAACCCTCAACCCTCAACCCTAAACCCTCAACCCTAAACCCGAAGCCCGAAACCCGAAACCCTAAACCCTTCACCCTCTGGGAGAGCCACCGAACCCCAACACCACCAGCCCCCAGAGCGCCCCGCAAACAACAAAAAGAAAGCAGAGCCGTTTAGGGCGTAGGGTTTAGGGCTTGGGGTTTAGGGTTTGGGGTTTTGGGTTTAGGAAACATAAGAAGACAGCGGACACACAATACTGTCTAGAGCAATGAGAAGAATCATGCAAGTCCCAAAGCATAAATGCATAGCCCGAGTATCACACAACGACAACTTAATTCAACAACCAGAGTGATAAGACTAGAAGATTTGGGAAGGAACGGGAGAAGAACTACCAAGAAGGCAACGCAACGATCAGCATGAGAATCATCTCATTGACAATCAAAAGGCGGATTTGGAGAACATAAAGAAGAACCATACGGCGAATAGTACGAACGACAACACCCACAGTAAAAATAGCTCAACGTTGTGGCTATCTTCAAGACTAAACATGAGTTCTGATTCTGACTACGTCCATGTTGATGATTGCGATTTCACGCAGAAGAAGACGAACGATGAAAGCAATAAGACGAAGGATGCACATTGGAATGCGAAGAATCATCATCACACAAGATAATGCTGCAGCAATCGTAAAACTTGGTGTGTCTGGGGGCCCGATATTAACCCCCCCCCCCCCCCCACCCCCGAATACACAAAAAAAACACCACGATAGTGATCATAGCATATGGGGGGGGGGGGGTATTGAACATTTTAGGGTTTAGGGTTTAGGGTTTAGGGTTTAGGGTTTAGGGTTTAGGGTGTAGGGTTTAGGGTTTAGGGTTTAGGGTTTTCAGGGTTTAGGGTTTAGGGTTTTCAGGGCTCAGGGTCCAGGGTTTAGGGTTTCGGGTTTAGGGTCTACGGGGGGGGGGGGTTTAATTCTAGGATGGCCCTTAAGACCCTGTGAAAAATATTCCTGAATATGACCCTCTTCAACCCAATAAGGGAAAATACAAAATTTTTCTACCTCGAACCTCCGTGACAAAAACACAAGACCCTAAACCCTAAACCCTAAACCCTAACCCCTAAACCCTAAACCCTAGGGTTTGTTTGGGGGGGAGGGGATGATGCCCAGCCAGGCTCACAGCTTTGAAGCGGCGCCTCGACGCCATCCGGCTCGCTTCCCGAAGCTCCCCCTGGGAAGTTCAGAGGACTTAACACCCAGGGTTTAGGGTTTTGGGTTTAGGGATTATGGTTTAGGGTTTAGGGTTTAGGGTTTAGGGTTTAGGGTTTAGGGTTTGGGGTTAGGGTTTAGGGTTTAGGGTTTAGGGTTTCTAACAATCCTTAATCGGGATTTCAGTACCCCCCTATTATAATCCCTATTAAGGACTCTTAGTATAAGGGAGAACATCCCAAACAGTATGTGGGCAGTTCTCTAAATTAAGGGTCCTTGTTTTTTTTGGGGGGGGCGGGGTCCTTACCATAAAGCAGCCCCTTATGATTTAGGGTACTGTACCCAAAAAGGGACCACACTTTAGAGAGGTGACCACAAGTATTTTAGGGTTTAGGGTTTAGGGTTTAGGGTTTGGGGTTTGGGGTTTGGGGTTTGGGGTTTGGGGTTTGGGGTTTGGGGTTTGGGGTTTGGGGTTTGGGGTTCAGGGTGTTGGGTTTCGGGTCTTAGGGCTTTGGAGCTTTTGGGGCCCCCCCCCCCCCCCCCCCCGGGGGTTTGACGTGTGTCTGTGTCTTGCAGTATTCGCTCCGGCAACAGCTGCTCGTCAGTCAGCAGCGGGGTTGCTGGCACGCAGCCTTGGTTGAGGATGGCCTCCACACGCCACTTGAACTAAGGTTCGAAATCATGGCGGTGTTCCACCATGAAGTCCGCGCAATCTGCCCGCAGCTGTGCCCAATGTTCGTTCAGCGCACGGCTTTCGAGAGTTGTTGCCCACTTCTTCTCGCAGGGTTTAGCGTTTAGGGCGTAGGATTTAGGGTTTGCTTGATTAGGGCTCAGAAAACTGAGGAGACATCCTAGACCTGAACCCAAACAAGAAAACCAATTTCCATCCAACACTCAGGGAAACCACCCTAAGCCACCCTTAAACCACAGCGGCCTGGCAACCTCGTCGGCGGCAACGCCCACAGCGGCTGCCTGGGAAGGAGTTGGGGGAGGGGGGGGGGAGGGGCATTGCGACACTCCCATGGGGCTCCTAAGCCGGGAGTGTACATGTTCAACCCCCAACTGCTAGCTACCAAGTTACCAGCAACCCCATCCTGAGATTTTGGGGTGGTTTGGCGTTTTCAGGCAGTTCCGGGCTTTGAGGGATATTCGGGTTCTTTTTCGATGTTTCGTTTCATTGCTTTTGCTTTATCTTTTGTGGCTTTTAGGGTTTTAGGACTTTGGGCTGTTTTTTAGGGTTTTAGGGTTTAGGGGCTAACGTGGGAGGCTGAGGGGACTTTGTGCTCTAGGTCCGAAATTCTTTCACCTGGAGCGGCTTTGCTTTAGTTGAGGAGCTTAGCTATTGGCCGAGAGGTTCCAGGTTTTAGGAGCTGCCCAAGCAGCACTTCTTGTGTAGGTTTCCCACAACTCCAGCGAAGGGGTCCTTGATACTAGAGGAGCCTGCAAGAAAGAATTGTTGGGCTCTTAGGAAATTGGGGTTTGGGGTTTGGGGTTTGGGGCTTTGGGGTATTGGGGTTTTGGGGTTTGGGGTTTGGGGTTTGGGGTTCGGGGTTCGGGGTTCGGGGTTCGGGGTTTTGGGTTTGGGGTTTGGGGTTTGGGGTTGGGTTTGGGGGTTCGGGGTTCGGGGTTCGGGGTTCGGGGTTCGGGGTTTGGGGTTTGGGGTTTGGGGTTTGGGGTTTGGGGTTTGGGGTTTGGGGTTTGGGGTTTGGGGTTTGGGGTTTGGGGTTTGGGGTTTGGGGTGGCTCCTTGACTGAGCTCCCCAGCATTGTGGTCGGCATGTCGGGTGGTAACGTGCTCACGGTCGTGGTCAAAGTGATGGATGTGAACGTTCGCGAGGTGACGGTCTGCAGTGGAGGAAAAAGCAAGAATGGCGGCGGGTTTTGGGGGTTTTGGGTTTACCTAAGCCCTAAGCCCTAAACCCTAAACCCCGAACCCTAAACCCTATACCCTAAGGAAGGGATGGGAGCTTGCGCTACTTTTATGCCCCTCCACTGTCCCACAAACTTCACTTGACCTTGTTAACCCTAAAACCCCCCAACTTCCAACGCTGAACTCTAAACCCTAAGCCCTCGGCGCCAAACCCTGAACCCTCAAACCCGAACACTCTGGACCCCTATCCCTTGAACCTTAAACCCTAAATCCCAAAACCCTGCAAACTCTGAATGTCTTAGAGCCCTGGTGCTTTGATGTTTCGGGTTTAGGGTTTGGGTTCTTGTGGGTACGAAATTCAGTGCGCAATTGGGCTTAGAGTTTGGGGGTTAGGGTTTAGGGTGTACCCTCATTATGGGAATTTCCCACTGACAGATGGCCCGCAGGGGGTTCAAAAGGATCCTTGAGAAAGTTGAGAAGTCAGCTCGATGACAGCATGTAGGGAGATTGTCACTTAGGCCTTTGGGTTTAGGGCCCCTAAACCCTAAACCCTAAACCCTTATACCCTTATACCCTTATACCCTCAACCCTCAACCCTAAGCCCTTGGGGTTTGTGGCTTGGGAGCCCAGACCCTGATCCTAACTCCGCAACCCCAAGCCCTAACTGCGGGAACGACTGGCGAGGGTTTGGGGGCCCAGCCTCTGCACCAGCGAACAAGCCCCATGAGCCTTCTAGTAGACTTTCAACCCGAAATCGTCTGGGTCTGAGCCTAGCATCTTTAAACCCTAAACGCCCCTAAAACCGCTAAGAACCCTAAAGCCCCTGAATCCCCGAAGGAACCCCAAAACCTCTAAAACCCCCCAGAAAACCCTGAAGCCTCGGAAGCTCCTAAACCCGTGACTGGGTTGGCCTCTCAACACCACCGAAAAATGGCAGCACATGGGGGTATTCTCTGAATTCGACTAACCCTAAACCCTAAACCCTAAACCCTAAACCCTAAACCCTAAACCTAGGGCCCCGGCACTGGTGACCTGAGTCGTCTGCACGGTGGTCTGCACGGTGGTCGGCACCATGGCCTGCGGGGAGCCGATGCTTTGGGGTTTAGGGTTTAGGGTTTGGGGTTTAGGATTTGGGGTTTGGGGTTCAGGGTTTAGGGTTTAGGATTTAGGGTTTAGGGTTTAGGGTTTGGGGTTTAGAGTTTTGGGTTTCCATAAAACCTACGGGGCCTTGCCTAGGGTTTAGGGTCTTGGGTCTCCCTCCTTTCGAGCTAGCGCTGCAGCTTCAGGTTCAGGGCTGCACACCTTTTAGGACTTGTTCAGGGTTTAGGGTTTAGAGTTTAGGGTTTAGGGTTTAGGGTTTAGGGTTTAGGGTTTAGGGTTTAGGGTTTAGGGTTTAGGGTTTAGGGTTTAGGGTTTAGGGTTTAGGGCTTCCGGTCTTGATTTTTTTGTTGCCCCACCGCCTGGGCAGCACCCTTGCCCCATGACACCGCGTTGCTCCAAGCCTCAGAGGGGAGGGATCCCAGCAGATCGCGTGATCGCAACCCCGAAATCCTGAACCCTAAACCTTTAAACCCTAAACCCTAAATCCTAAACCCTAAATCCTAAACCCTAAACCCTAAACCCTAAGCCCTAAACCCTAAGCCCTAAGCCCTAAACCCTGAAGCCTGAAAGTCCCGCGACCCCGACCGCGGAACCCTGCGGCCTTAGACCGACCACCTTGACTGCCAAAACCCTACATGAAAGGAACGTTTAGGGTTTAGGGTTTAGGGTTTAGGGTTTAGGGTTTAGGGTTTAGTGTTTAGGGCTTAGGGCTTAGGGCTTCGGGCATAGGGCTTCGGGCTTCGGGCTTAGGGCTTAGGGCTTAGGGTGTTTGTTTCTGTGGAGGGTTTAGAGTTTAGGGTCCAGGGTTAGCTAGGGTTTAGGGTGTAGGGTGTAGGGTTCAGGGTTCAGGGTTCAGGGTTTAGGATTTAGGGTTCCGGGTTTAGGGTTCAGGGTTTAGGGTTTGGGGGGGTTCCGCTGTTTCCTTTTGGGGGAGGAAGGGTCATTACAATCACAAGTACCAAGGAGGACCGGAGGACGTAGCAAGTAGGTGCCAATGCCAAGTACAGCTACAAGCATCCCAGCTGGGATTCGGAGGAGTTTGTGGCCTAAACCCTAAACCCTAAACCCTAAACCCTAAACCCTTAACCCTTAACCCTAAACCCTAAACCCTAAACCCTAAACCCTATGAACAATGAACACTTCATCCTCAAGCACCTCCAGGCTTGAGGTTCAGGGCTTTAAGTGCTTTAAAGGCCCTTTGAGGGTTTAGGGTTTAGGGTTTAGGGTTTAGGGTTTAGGGTTTAGGGTTTAGGGTTTAGGGTTTAGGGTTTAGGGTTTAGGGTGAGCCACCGCATCATCCAGGCATCCTGAGTCATATCCAGCTGGGATGGGAGTCCATGCAGCCGGCACCGCAAACGCTTCCTTCTCCGGCTGCGCCGTAATGTAGGGATCGCAATAAGTACTAACATTCTTCCCTTATTGTCTCTACATAAATATCCTAACCCCCCAAACCCTATTCTGATCATTAAGGCCCCTGTAGTAACCACCTCAAAGCTTCGTATCTTCGCCGCTGGCTCGGACGTGGCCTCCGTGCAAAAGCAAATATGTTGTGCTTAAGCATAGCATAGACTTGAACCGGGAAGGAGATATTGAGGCGCAAACAGGATAGCTCGTTAAAAGACAAGGTTGGGAGTAACAAACCCTAAACCCTAAACCCTAAACCACAAAACCCTTATCTCAACTCAGATCCGAAGTTGCGGGGCGCCCGGGGACTGGGGGGGTTGAATTGACCCGAAGCCGAAGCCGAACGTAGGTCACCCATTGAATGGGTAGAAATGCAAACCACCTGCCTGAGACAACAGAGAGTACTGCCACTCACCACGAAATTGTTCTTGAGGGTTTAGGGCTTAGGGTTTAGGGTTTGAGGTTTAGGGTTTGGGGTTTAATTTCGGGATGTTCCGCGAGGCTCGGATTTGAGGCTTCTGGTGTTTAGGGATTTCGGTATGCCTCAAGGCTTGGGGGTTTGGGGGCTTCGGGTTTGGGTGTCTAAGGGGCACTGACGTGACCCTCCTAAACCCCCTAAAGCCCAAACCTCTGAAGGTAGGAGGCTATGCACTTTCTAGGCTTCGGCTTTAAAACCTTAAGGCGTTTAGTTGTTTGGGCTTTTGGTAAGTTTAGGGATGTGAGGGGTTCTTTCCCTAATTATTCAGCCTAAACCCCGTGTTGAGGGGCGTGTTGAGGGGGCACCTACGCACCCTGAACCCGAAACCTTAGGCAAGGGTTCAAGGTTTAGGGTTTAGGGTTTAGGGTTTAAGGTTTAGGTTTAGGGTTTAGGGTTTAGGGTGTAGGGTTTAGGGTTTAGGGTTTAGGGTTTAGGGTGTAGAGTGGGTGTAGGGTGTTAGGGTGTAGGTGGTTTGGGGGTTTCGGGGCTTAGGGAAGAACACCCCGGGGCTCCCTGCACTGCGGGCCACCTCGCCAGTGACCTGCGCCCAAGGCCCACTCACTGCGGCGGACATGTTTGGAGGGGTCTAGGGTTTAGGGTTTAGGGTTTGGGGTTTAGGGTTTGGGGTTTGAGGTTTAGGGTTTAGGGTTTAGGGTTTAGGGTTTAGGGTTTAGGGTTTAGGGTTTAGGGCTTGGGGTGTTGGGGCTGAACCCTGTAAACCCCTAAACCAGGGTTTGGGGTTTTGGGGCGTTTTAGGGTTTAGGACTAAGTGGGCATGGCTTGTGTAACCTTTGAGCTAAGGACAGTCGGCAAGGCCTTGGCCGCAATGCACTTCAGAAATCTGTCGTTTTTAGCTATGTTGATGCTCTGCAACAACCTTTTGTCGCCTGGGATCGCAAAACTTCGTCCAAGCGGTAGCTTTTGCCCGACTCGTCAATATTTCTTGGCAGCAGTGAAAGGTTGCACCAGGGAAAGGAGTTCTTTGACGACATCGTGGCGGTCGCGCCACGACATCGTGGCGGTTGCGCCCGCTCAAGCTTTCAACCACTGCGCTATCCATGCCTGGTTTCAAGAAAGGCAGGAGCTCCTTGACAATGTCCAAGCGGTAGGTGTGCAATGCCTCAACTTTTTGGGCGGCAGTGAAAGGGGGCACCAGGGAGAGGAGCTCTTTGACGTCATCGAGGCGTTAGCGCTCCCGCAAGCTTTCAACCACCGCGCCATCCATGCCTGGCTTCTAAAGAGGCACAAGCTCTTTGACATCGTCCCAAGCGTGCCCACAATCTCCTTCGCGAACAGCTGCGAGCACCACGCCTGGCATGGCACAAAGCAGGCGCCCAGGACACCGATGAAGAAGCGGATGGTGGCCAGGCCAGTAGCGTTGTTCACGAGACCACCGAAGAAGACCGGGATAGCTCCGAACGACAGCACAGAGGGCCCACAGCGAAGCGCATGAGCACGGTCGACGCCACAGACGCGATGTTCGCGTTGTACACCTCGTCCTTGGTCAGGCCCAGGTCCTTCTTTATCTGCGGCATCAGCGGCGCGAACGCGAACCACGATGCGAAGGCCATGAAGAAGCCGAACCACACCAAGCGGAAGCCGTGCATGTGCGGCCGCTGGAAGGACAGCAGCTTGATCTCGGTTGCGCGGTCCACCTCGCAGTCGTAGGTCTCGTACTTCTTCCACGAGGCGCGGCGCTCGTGCTTGTTCGTCGTCGGGAGTACGCCGTCGGCGGCCATCTCGGGGGTGGACATCTCGACTTTTAGGTGTTTGGGGAGTTTTGGGGGGCATTTTGGGGCCTTTCCGGTCCGATGGCTTAGGTGGTGATGTTTTTTGACTTGGATCGAAGGGAAAGCTCACTGTCTCACGGCCGGCGCTCCGATCTGCGGTTTAGGGTTTAGGGTTTGGGGTTTGGGATTTGGGGCTTAGGGCTAAGGGCTGAGGGCTTCGCGCTTCGGGCTTAGGGCTTAGGCTTCGGGCTTCGGGCTTAGGGCTCAGCTGAACTCTCAACCCTAAACCCTAAACCCTAAACCCCAAAAACCAAGGTGGGGAGATCTGACTGTCGGGCTGTCGGCACTTCTAGGGTTCGGGTTTGTAGGATATAAGATTAAGAAATTAACGCCTTAGGGTTCATACAGGGTTTAGGGTTTAGGGTTTAGGGTTTAGGGTTCAGGGTTTAGGGTTTAGGGTTTAGGGTTTAGGGTTTAGGGCTTAGGGCTTAGGGCTTAGGGCTTAGGGTTTATACAGGCTTACAGGCTGTCCCATGAGTTGAGCAAGCCCAGAACCTCCCGGTTCTTGCGGGGCGGGCGTAAGTTTTGCTTCGGGCCCGAGGGTCGACCCAAGAAAACCCCACAAACCCTATATAGGGTTTAGGGTTTAGGGTTTAGGGTTTAGGGTTTAGGGTTTAGGGTTTAGGGTTTAGGGTTTAGGGTTTAGGGCTTAGACCCCAAAGCATGCCCTGAAACTCAACCGTCCAAAGCCCCAAGCACCCTGATCAAGAGCCCCAAAAAAACCCTCCCTAAACCCTAAACCCTAAACCCTAAACCCTAAACCCTAAACCCTAAACCCACGAAAAGGCTGACGCACCTCTGAGAACTGAAGTGCCCGCACCCGTGCGTATGCGGCCATGGCGATCTGCACATCGAGGGTTGGGGGTTTGGGGTTTAAGGTTTGGGGTTTAGGGTTTAGGGTTCGGGGTTTGGGGTTTAGGGTTTGGGGTTCTGGGGTTTAGGGTTTGGGGTTTGGGGGTTTGGGGTTTTGGGGTTTAGGGTTTAGGGTTAGGGTTTGGGGTTTGGGGTTGGGGTTTGGGGTTTGGGGTTTTGGGGTTTGGGGTTTAGGGTTTGGGGGGTTTCGGATTTTAGATTTGGGGCGTTGGGGCTTTGTGACTGGTTTTGTCGGGTCAATGCTCCCTCTGAAACGAACGAAACAGGAGCCTGCTTCAACGGCCTGGCTTCTTGCAACGACAGACATGCGCCCTGTAACCGCGTTCTGAAACCCCAAACTCGAAACCCTAGACCCCAAACCCCAAAAGCCCTTTGGGCGTTCAGGGCCGCGAAACGGGGACAAACTTCTTCAACGTCCATCAAGGTCGGTAATCCGCTGCATCATCGCCCAAGGTCGGTGGTTTCTTGGTGGGAAAGGGCTGAAGAGTTGGTTTAGGGCTTAGGGATTAAGGATTCAGGGCTGTCTAAAACCCTAAACCCGTCAAAAGCTCGAGAGCTTCAGCGTTTCGCGGTTGGGGTTGCGCCCCTAGACGTTCGGAAAAGACCCTCGAGCCTCCAACCTCCGCGCGGTCTAGGGCTTAGGGTTTAGGGTCTAGGGTCTAGGGTCTAGGGGTTTGGGGTTTAGGGTTTAGGGTTTAGGGTTGTTTAGGGTTCTGGGGGGGTTTGGGGGTTTAGGATTTTTAAGGGTTTGGGGATTAGGGCGTCCACCTCTGGCAGGGCGAGAGAAGTGTTCCCCCGGACGACTTGCGTCTGGAAGCCAGCAAAGGTGGACACCTTCTGAGGTGCGGGTTGAGTTTTTAGGGCTTGGGGTGTTCAGGGTTTAGGGTTGGGGTTGTAAAGTTTGGGGTGTAGGTTTTGGGTTGCAGGGTTTCGGTTTTCGGGTCTCGGGCCCAGACAAGCACAAGGGTATAGGATTCCATGGTACAAGGCCCCCCTTGTGACCCAAGATAAGGCCCAAAGCTAGCTGAGCTCTGTGTGTAATGCAAGACCCCCTAAACCCTGAACCCTACACCCTAAACCCTAAACCCCACACCCTAAACCCTAAACCCTAAACCCTAAACCCTAAACCCTAAACCCTAAACCCTAAACCCTAAACCCTAAACCCTAAACCCTAAACCCAGACACCAACCCCAAAGCCTAAACCACAAAGCCCAGAACCCTAAACCCTGCCCGGGTCCCGCGCTGAGGAGAACCAAACTTCGAAGCAAGGCGCGCGGCAGCTGACGTCCTAGGGTGCGGAGCATACAAACCCTAACCTTCCTTGGTACCCTCAACCCCAAACCCTAAACCCTAAACCCTAAACTCTCAACCCTCAAAGCCTAAACCCTTACCTTCCTTCGTGGGTTTTGGGGCAGGCTCCCTCGACTCCAGCCTCTGCAAGCTGCCCCTGAAGCCCGAAAACCTCCGGAAAAATCCCGAAACTCGAAGCCCAGACGCCTAAAACCCTAAAACCCCCCAGACCCGAAGTGCCCAAGCCGCAAAACTCCAAAAACCCGGAAGCCTCAAGGATTTAGGCGCCAAGGGTTCGAGGGGTTTAGGGTTTGGGATTTCTTAGGGTTTAGGATTTAGGGTTTAGGGCCTGGAGGTTCAGTGTTTCCAGAGTAGGGTCTCCACCCCAACGCAAGCAAGGGGCCATCGGCATCCCAGCAATTGTCTGTAGTCCCTTGGTCGGGGGTGGCGACCAGTGAAGTACGCCGTGGTGAGAGGAAGCCTTGCGACTAGGGGTATCTTCTTGGGGTTTAGGGTGTAGGGTTTAGGGTTTAGGGTTTGGGGTTTGGGGTTTAGGGTTTAGGGTTTAGGGTTTAGGGTTTAGGGTTTAGGGTTTAGGGTTTAGGGTTTAGGGTTTAGGGTTTAGGGTTTAGGGTTTAGGGCTGACTCAGGATTCTGAGTGTGAAGGGTTTAGGATAAGGGCTCAGGGCTCTAAGGAAAGCGAGGAGTTCTGTGCTTCCGGGTTCAAGGGTCTAGACTAGACTATAGACCACCTTTTCAGCTCCAGGGGCTTGAGGGTCAGCACCCTAGAAGCAAGCTATATCCAGTGATAAGTATAGTTCCCCTACTTGTGAACCTCCAAAAATAAACCCGAAACCCTGTACCCTGAAGCCCCCCCCCCCCCCGAATTAACGCCCAAGCCCGACGAGCCTGGATGTCGGCCTTGCAGTACTCGGCCTAGGCGAGGACTACGCGTCCCCCCTACGTTTCGTGGGGGAGGCACTTCGAGCATGCACCATTGCAACGACCTTCACAGGGTTTAGGGTTTAGGGTTTAGGGTTTAGGGTTTAGGGTTCAGGGTTCAGGGTTCAGGGTTCAGGGTTCAGGGTTTAGGGTTTAGGGTTTAGGGTTTAGGGTTTAGGGTTTAGGGTTTAGGGTTTAGGGTTTAGGGTTTAGGGTTTAGGGTTGCCCTCGCAAGCCCTACAATGGCCCTACGAGCATTGAAGCCAAAGACTCAACACCTCATAGCGTAGCCGTTGAACCCCCAGCCCGTTAAAACCGTTGACTGCCCTTGGAACCTTGAACCGGGTCGCAAGGACATCGCCGGTCGTTCCGCAGAGGTCTTTTCATGTGTGATCCTATACCGCCCCCAGCCTAAATCAAAAAAAACCTAAATATGATCTTGACTCAGCGAATTTCTATGCGTATAAGCACCCGCATACATATTCATTTGGCTATTTACGTGCTTAAATATTTTTTTTGGCTTCAACTATCTTGCTTGGAACCTGCACCTGAAATCTCTGGCTCTCCAGCTCACGACTAGGTCTGCGGACCGCTTTGCCGAAGGGACCCGAGCGTTGCGGGTCGCAGAAGTCGCAGCCTTGATAGGAGTGAGGGCCCTCTTTTTTTTGTGGGGGGGGGGGGGGGGGGGGGGGTTTAGGGTTTAGGGTCGTTTAGGGTTTAGGGTTCAGTGTTTCGGGTTTAGGGTCTAGGGTCTAGGGTTGGAGGGTTGGGGGTTTTGGGGGATGCTGGGTTTTAGGGCTTTGGGGGGGGGGCTTGGTTTTTCAGGGCTCTGACTGTTCGCTTCGCACCTCATCTCAGGGATGCTGGCTTGGTTTGGAGCCTGCATCCAATGAAAGCCTCAAGGCTTCGTAGGGTTTTCAACTTGAGTTGGGGCGTATCAACTGACACCCTTGGACGTGCGATTTCGGGTCTAGTGAGGTGAGTCAACCCAAAAAACGCTCCTGCAAGACCTACTCCAGACCCGCAACCTTCAAACCCTGAACCCTACACCCCCTGCTTGGCATCAGGTTGGAAGTTGCGGGGCTGACACGCTCGCGCTGCTTTGAGGGTGCACCTTCCCGCTCTGGGCTGCAGGCTCTCGTGGAGTCAAAACCCGCACCCTAAACCCTAAAACCTAAGCCCTGAACCCTAAACCCTAAACCTAAACCCTAAACCCTAAACCCTGAACCCTAAACCCTAAACCCTGAACCCTGAACCCTAAAGCAGAAGCTCCAAGTGACGGGAGCCCTGGGACGCAAGACCAAGACATCGCTCACACTCTTTTGACCCCGACAAGGGCCATCTGTGGGGGGGGGGGGGGGGGGGTTAGGGTTGAGGATCAACCCTCAACCCTCAACCCTCAACCCCTAAACCCTAAACCCTAAACCCCAAACCCTTAAAGCCCTAAACCCCAAGTGGGGTGTTGGGGCCTCCAAAAATTGCCAGAGGAACAAAGGCAACAGCGTGCAGACCAAGGGTCCGATGCACTCGGCGTTGCAGGTGGGGCAGCCGTTCAGGCAAGTGTCCGGGCATTTGCCTCGGAACTTCGCGGCTTTAGGCCTTTAGGGTGTTTAGGGTGTGTAGGGGGTTTAGGGGGCTGGCTTAGGGGCTTTCGGAGCTTCAGGGGTTTCAAGGGGTTTAAGGCTTTAGGGGCTTGAGGGGCTTTAGGGGGCTCAGGGCGTTTACGGCTGCGGGCTAAGGGGGTTCAAGCGGGAGCACCCCGTTTAGCTCTCAAGCTTTCGAGGCTTCAATGAGACCCCACAGCCTGCACCCCTTGTTTGCTGCACGCTTACTTTGGTTTAGGGTTTAGGGTTTAGGGT